GTGAAAGCTCGAAAAATTTTTTTCCCGTTTCGATTTTTTTCGTAAATGACCCCTTTGTGTGATGAAATATGGCCCTGCAAAAAACCTGACACCCCCAAGGGAAAACCCGTTGGTGGGCGCGGTTTTTCAAATATTTTTTTAATTTTTTGAAAAACGTTGCCCCTTTAAAGGGGTTTTTGTTTTTTATTTTTTGTAAAACTTGGGTTTACAGATTTTAACCCCCTTTTGGGAAGGCAATTTAAAAAAAAAGTTTCTTGATTGGTAAAAAATTACATAAAAGACCTTTTAGGGTTTTGGTGCGTTTTGCAATGCAAAGGGGTTTGACTTCCTTTGGGTTTTCCATAAATTTAGTGATGGGATTGTCAATTTGGCCATAAAAGTGAAACCCCGTGTCATGCAAATGATGATATTTTTCGAAAAAATCGATGTTGTATTTGGGAACTGTTTCAAAATTGGTTTTAAGCAAGTTTTTTGCTCTTTTTGGGGTTAAACCCTTTGGCAAAATTAAAATCCCCGCCTGAAATTTTATGAGAGGGCCCAAAGGGGGATCCCATTTCATTTAGTACTGTTTTATTTTTCTTAAAAACCTTTGTTTTTAAAATTTCATCATAAACAAATCAAACCCCATTTCTTTTTTTAAAATTTTTGTCGAATGCGTTTTCTGACGGGTGCATGGGGGTGCATCTTTTTAACCCCGAAAAACCCCCCCTTTTTTTAAATTTTTACACCCTTGTGGGGAAAATTTAAAAAAATTTCCCTAAAAACGACAGATTTAAATTAAATTTTTCTTTTGCCTGTATACCCAGAATACAGCCCTTTTTTTACCGTTTTCAGGTCCCGCGAAGGGGGAAACCCTTTTTAAAACCATTTTAGGCTTTTAAGAAAAAACACGAGTAGAAACGTTTTAGAGCTATTGTAAAGCTGAACAGAACTGTTTTTCATATGTTTTTGTATCAAAATTTTTAGCTTACACAAATCCTTTTGTCAAAACATGTAATAGTTGTGGGAAAACGTGGTTTTAAAAGTAAGATGATGGCCTTTTGTTACATTCTCATTTTCAACCTCCCTGTTCGGTATTAAAATTCCATACCAAAATTAATACGTATTTTCCCTAAAGGCCCGGACATTTAAAATTTGACATTGAGGGTTTTTTATAAATTTAAAATTTACTTTTTAATTCCCAAAGGGTTTTTTAAATATTTAGGGTTTTCTTGTGTGGGGCCTATAAAGGTTTTCATAAACCAACCCCGGGAAAATTTGACCATCTTTCATATTTCCCGAATAAAAAAAAATTCTTAATGGGGACTTGTCAGGAAAAAATTTGTTATAAGTGTGAGTAAAAAATAAAATACTGGAAAGGGAGAAGCAAGCCAAAAACTTTCTTTAAGATTTTATCTGATATTGGGGGGTTATTTCCAAAAAACATGGGGGGTTCAAGGGGAAATAGGAGTTAAGATGATACTGGGTAAAAAAATTTTTGGAATTAGGATGTGAGATTTGGGGAGTAAATGCTTGAGTGTTATATCAAATAAAACAAACTTGGGGGCTTTCTTTTGGAGGAATAAAAAGCATAGTTAACATTTAAGTCAACAAATTTTTAAATTAAAAATTTTTAAGTGAGAAAATTTTAGCTGCAATCTTTTTTCCCTCCCCTTTTTTAAGTAAGATGTTTATGCCAATTGGTAAATATATAAGTAGTTATTGTTACTCATAAGTCTATAGGCTGTGTTTTTTTGATTGTAGTTTTTATGTTTTGGTTTTTCATTTGGAAATAATTATGGAGTTCTTTTGCCTTGTAGGATATGATGTTTAAATTTTTACTGGTAGGGTCCATATTAAGTCCTTTAAAAAGGTGGTTACTTTATTTTCCAAGTAATTTGGAGATTTCAGTGCTTCATTGATCACGTTTTACTAAATGACTATTATTAAGGCATTGAAAATCAGATAGACAAGTGTTGAATCGTAGGGGAATAAGTGAAAGTGTTGGTTTACATATGTTAATTAGCCTACCAAATACATCCTTTCATTTGTGCATGTCAGCGTCATAGTTCATAACGTTTATGTGCGTCCATCCAAACAGGTAAAACAAGAAGAAATAAACCAACGTTTCATTTGATTTTAAAGATATTGCATTAATTCAGTCTACGGTAATAAATCAAAGCTAAACTTTGATTTCGTGTGTCAAACATGCACCATGTTTAAAACTGATTTACACACATATAATGATTAATGGCGCTACAAGAAAATTTACTTTTACAAATTATTTCTCAGAAATGTGTCTGAGTTATTTCAAATATAGAAACTCTGACATCAGACATGCAGTCTACATTTGTACAATATACGGAACTGAAATATCTACAAATTATAAATAATGTATTTTCCTTTCTTGTAAAAGTGAAAAATATATCGTCCTAACGTGATATGTAGCCATAAATTATTCTTATCATGTCTAGGTCGAAACGTTACGCTTTACATACATCTTATTTTGAAAATCATATAATATGGAATTAAATGAGTTTATGTACTGACTTAAGAATATTTCTTCCGTTGCTTCATTGTAATACGTGTTCCAAATATTGACAAGAAAAGCATTGATGCAAAGCATCAAAAGGGCGTCCAAGCAAGAATGCAGCAGCGGTGAAAATGAACTAGTAGATGTTGATGACAATATATTCTTATAAACTTTTCAATGGTTAATTTGGTTTTACCAGAATTGTATATCACTTTATGAATGAACGGCCGAAAGACATTGTTCATTATTAACTTTGTTTGGCATGCTCGATATTAGAATATTACTTGTTATTTTTTTATGATCGGGTTATTAATAGCAACGGACATACATGTATACAATCATTTATATTCCATATGTTGTAACGCATGATCAAACACCACACTTGTGTAATTGTCCCTTATTATGTTATCGTATTAGCGAATACACCCTCTTAGGTATCTGTTCACACTTAGCAACAATATGACACTGGTTATATTACATGTTTGATCATGTTGAGCATAATTGTTTATTATACAATAATTGTATATTATTTTAATAAAAAAAATTACAGATTTTATGAATATTGTTTTCTTTTCTTTTTTTTGTGTTTTATAGTGCTATTTTTAATACTGAGTTTTTACGTTAACTACTATTTTAAGAATTCAATTGTCATATTGACCGACGATTATAAGTCAAAACTTAATGGAAAAAGTCAGTAAATTATGGTTAATCTTTCAATATATAATATTGTTTATTCTTAAACCATGTACATATGTATTTTTCTTCATCATTTTTTAAATTATCAATCAACTGAATAATTCATAACTTTGAATAATTCCTCGGCATCTTTACTAAACACGAATAACAAATTAAACAAAATGTTTCAAAGCTGATAGTGTCATGTTAATACCATAAAAATGTACCTTTTTTCTCAATTATTGTACATATATTTATAAAATTATTGTTTTTATCTCAAATAGATAAAATAAAACATGTTATTGTTGTTGTTTGGTATTTTTCGAATTGTATAATTATGTATAATAATAATCAATAAATTTGAAAGTTGATCTGTGTTTATTAATTATTGTAACCAAACTAAGTGACAAACATTCATTTTGAAAAAAGCTTATTTATCTGTAAAATATTTGTTCTGTTCTGTAACGATATCAAACATCTACTCCAAAACCGGGAGAGACCGGACAATAAACGTGTGGTACTATATATATTATAGACCGGGAATTACCGATAGGAGTGATGTATCTATAAATAGATTTTCGGAATATTAAGGTCATCCACTCATCATTCTATAATAACATACCATAATAACCCACTGTGTACTACAAAATGATAAATAAAAATACCCCGAAGAGCGCGATTTATTGACGGAAAAGGATATTTCATTTGAAAATGTTTGCATTGCGAAATTCTCCAGTTCGCTATTCATTGTACATATCGCGACATTTCATTTTTAATTAATAAATCAAGCACCCTCATACCGATCGGAATGATCGGCTTTTATTATGACCGACTAAAAGGCTCGAGAAGTTGCTGTCGCCCTTTTTCATGCCATAAGAGGCCAATAAAATATTGAAACTATTTCAAATTTTTATAGCAAGCCTCCTTTTTTGACAATTAAATACTTGTTGTTAGCTAATTCAATGAGATGATTTCTGTTTAAGCTAGATGAAGAGGACGGTAAGAGTTATAATACCAAAGATGCAAACAAATCGAGTTTGAAATATATTAATACAATCCAACATAAAATATAATTATTCGTTTGCAACTTCTAAATTTTTATATCAGGCCTTGCCCATGAATAAAACCTCTTAGGAGTGAGTCAAACACATTTTTTATTATATGATTATAGTTGTTGTTGTCTTGTTGTTGTTGTTGACTTCCCTTCAATCATAACGATCAAAGGGAGGCAATATAGTGCAAGATTTTTGCGGTCATGTTTATGTTTCCTTACTTACAAAATATTTTATGCACCATTCATCAAAAAGTTTGTAGTCAGAGGAAAATAAAATGAAGCGCTTCAGACCTTCTTTTAACCAGCGAAAAGTGAAGCTGTATTAGGTAAAGACATTTAAATTCCGGTGAACATTTCCAAAATGAGACAATATTCAACCAAGTCTCGTTTCCTGAACACTTTCCGTTTGATTTTGTCAACAACTATGAAAAGTTCGTTTTGTTTGTTTGTTTTTTGGGTTTTACGTCACATCGACACAGTATAGGTCATATCGCGGCGTTCCAGCTTTACTGGTGGAGGAAGACCTCAGGTGCCCTTCCGTGCATTATTTCAGGCACGAACGGGCACCTGAGTAGAACCACCGACGTTCCGTAAGCTAGCTGGATAGATGAAAAGTTCGTAGGAATGATCTGCGACATGAACTAATGATACGAAGGATAATAATAACAGATTTATTAATCTAATACGTACTCTTGTGACCAAGAAAGCAAGCTAAACAATGTAAGCAAACATGTTTAAATAAAAACTAAGCAATGCATATATCATTGTACTTATGTGTCAAGTTTATTACTTTTGTTCAGTTTATTTACATAAAATGATCAGTTTCTCGCGAGATTTAGTCGGTTAACATGAATTTGTATTTTACATAAAGCAAAAACTGATAAGAACTTCCAAAAAAAAAATTGATTGTCGATTGTTTCTGTTAATTTAATGATTTTACACAGAAATATCACTACTGAAAGAAGTAAGGGCATGTTCTGGAAAAAGGGTGATATTTGAAATTCGCAAAAACTTGGAGATTTGGTGTTTTATGCGTATTCACGACTATCAGCCCAATATTAGATAAAAGTCCAAATAACTTGTAAATATGTACTTAAAATGTTTCTCCTTTAAATTAGTCTATTAAATTAGTCTAGTATTGCAATTGCATATAACACGAAAAAGCCAATGTAAGGTTTGATCTGTTGGATTTTGTGAGTATATATCAAGCATAAATTGGGGACAGGAGAATTTGACTCTATGTCATTCGGTTGTCATACCACGGATTAGGACCCCATGAAACCGGTGTTGCTTTATATTGATAATCATCAACAGGGATGTCATCGAAAGTTTCAACTTTACGTGGGACATAGATCGGCTGCTCTCTGAAACAAAATAAAAAATGATACATAAAATATTTATAAAAACAACTTTACAAGAATGGGTTAAATAAATTATAATTATGAAAATGCTTATGCTTTTGTATGGAGTGATTTGACTCAGTGATTAATATTGTATTATTAATACCGTCGTATTTTGGCATATTGTTTTGGCATATTGCTTTAATTGATTGATTTGTAGTAGTAATTTTACATCTTTGTCTTAGTGATAGTTATCTGACTTAGTAACTTAACACAGTGATTCGATATTTCTCTTCGATTAAGGGATTATATGCTTACTGCCCGGACAAGATGATCTGACATAGTGATTTGAAGAAGTTATTTAAGATATTTAAGATTCAGGCTAATTATGTTTACCTATGTTTACATTTATATAAATGAACAACAATATCGTTTTTAAGTGAGGGGACTTTAATTGTGAAATGAATATAGGAAAACTCTATTTTGGACTTTTGCAGGTTCTACTTTAGTTAATGAGAACAATTTTAACTTGACATGTTAATGATATTGCAAATGAAAAGAAACTGTTGGGCTCTTAAACAAACATTGATTTTAAGAGCGTTAAACGAATATATATTAACATTTTGAAGTTTGCACGTGTAAAGTTGAAGATTGCACGAGTAAAGTAAGTTGTGATGATGTGATATATACCTGTAGTAGTAAAGGGGTCTTTCAGTGGGATAATACGGGTGCGGACCGTAATAACGCCTGTCACGTGGTGTCACTTGTCTAGAAGTTACACTCGTGTCTGTTTCAGACAACTTATCACTTCTATTGCCGCACCACCGACCTGTTTAAAAACAACAAGTGTCATATAAATTAAAGTTCATAATTTCCCTAAATATCTTCATTTATTGATACATGTAGTATAAAGAAGTCAGTAGCATATGCATAAAGATATTTACTTACTTAATAGTCAAAACTAAAAAAGTGTAATCTTCTTCGAACAAGTACATTTTTATAGACCTGCGAATATAATGATATCAATATTTTCCTTTGAAAATGAAACAAAACACAAACCTATTGTTAGCACCAACAATATGCGGACGTATCTCTATCACTATTTGGTCGGAATAAAATGACAGTAATCAACATTCGCCGCGAAGCGTCTTTTTCAAAGTTACAATAATGTAAAAGTTATGGTTCGTGATAAGTTTGTATTTGCTTTAGAATAGATTTGTAAATGACAACCCACCAATTAGACAAAGAAGCATGAGGGCCGTAATGATTGCGAGAAAGGCTGCAAGTGCAACAAGAACCACAGAGTACGGAATGTGCAAGGTAGAGTCGTGGATGACGTCATCGTTCACCGAATCATGTATTTCCAAATGCATATGAGTAACCATGCCGACCGGGATCCAGGTTAGTATTCCTGCAAATAAATGAAATTTCTGTAAAATAAAACAGTTTTTATTAAGTAACTTGAGATATTTATAATTATTTTAAGTTCAGCAATTTATTTGACCGTTACCCATTGGTTAATATAATTCTGACACGAGGAAAAAACACTAGCTGTTTCTCAATATTTAGCTAAATGACTGTATTTAAAAGACCTTACGGACATACATGTTGATATTGTGGTCACTTATTGATAGAATATTTTCATTTTTATGTCCCTAACAAATAATGACGTCAAGAATAATAATTTACTAGCTCACTACCTGCAATAATCCATAGAAAGAAGGCAGTTAATGCTACTGCCCTGTAAACAAACGTCCTGAATATGCAACAGACGAGACAGAGAACCAGTATAAACCCGATAGTACACGTGATCATCACGAGCACCATAATCACTCGCCACGCTACCCACTCTTCCGTGTCTGACGTCAATAATTCAATCCAAGTATAGTGTGACGTGTACTCTATAAATAAATTTTTTTTTTTTAATTTCTTTTCGCAAATAATTTCTTTTCAAGTGTCAGGGGTTAATTAAGAAAAACTTAAGACAATGTTTAGATCTCTACATATGCTTATAGTTTTGTATGCTCATAAAAAATATACCTAAGTTAAGGCTAAATACATATACAACCTGATACAAATTAGCAAATACTTTGATGCAAACAATGTTTTGTAAATAAGCCTATTTTGAGTAAAAAAAAAAGTATATGTGGTCTTATTAATATTTAATTCAGGATTTGTATAAATATGATAGCAAGTCTAGAATCTAGCAAAAAAGATATTTGTCTGTCTTTCTGTCTGTCCAGATTTGACGCCGATTTTAAAACATTCTTGGCCATATCCCGGCGGTCACTACACGTAACTGATTTTCAGGGATAACTAACCAGTTATTACCAGATTGACCATAAGTGGCCGAATACTAATTGTCAAGAGATCAATGGTCAAGGGTAAATTTCGCAAGGAAGCGTATGCATTCACTTACTAACAAACGCCATATCTCGTACGCACTCCATTGAAGAATCACCAGCCTGACATGTTTTACAGTCGAATAACTCTTGCGGGCATAGAATGTCATAAAATAATGATCTGAAAAAAATTATATAGTCATTTAAGGTGTCTTTTTATTCCTCAGAATTTATATGTTTTGTACTCATTTATATAATTATAAATCTAACAATAAAAGACTGTGTTTGTGCACTGATGTTTCCAAATAAAATATTTTAGCTCACTTCATTTATACAGTTAGATCAATTGTTTCCTTTATTAATCTAGCTCTCCTATTTTAGAACAAAAATATTTATATAATAAAAATAAAACCAATCAGAGGAGAAGAAACATGAAAAAATTAATCCCCCCCTCCCTCACTGACACCTCCCCATTCCCCCTCCCACACACACAAAAATGTTATATTTAACAATGTATCTTACCTGTTTAAAGAAGACACTGTATATTCTCTCTCAAACTCGTTCTCCTGAAAAGTTACAACAAGCCAGCCCGGGGTTGCGAATCCGATCCAGAACAATATAAATGCTATTGTTGCGACCAGCATCAACACTATGTGATAGCAAAATAACCTATCCATGTTTCTATTTTTTCTTAAAACCGTACTTGTATTTAAAATATATCTACATTATTATCAAAAAAGATATAACTTTGACAGCTTGGTGATGCAAAAATGGATTGAAAATCATTCCCAACTTTACTAAAAATGAATTATTTTTGCACGCACAGGGGTATTACTATAATGGTCCAGATTTGTATAGCTGTATATATATTTTATTAATGGGACCCCTGTTTCGGAATATAATCGTTTCGCGCTATGGTCTGGTGAACTGTTTTCGGGTGAATGCGTATATGCGGATACACCCAAATTACTTTTTAAGTTTCATGCAATTTGACAAATTTGCTTCATTGGACCAGAACATAGTTTGGTTATGTAAAACGTACATAATCATAAAGTAGTCGTAATTTTGCAGTATGTATATTGAATTAAAATAAAATGATCTGCATGGAAACATATTAAATCAACAACACTTTTCGCAGGAATTATTATAATTACTTATAGAAAAGGCCACTTTATGACAAACATAATGCAGTCTGGGACAAATTCAAAAGTTAAAAAATACCCGTACATGCAAATTTATTTCTTTAATGGGTGAACAAGATTTTGGTTGCCTAACTCCATATTTAATGTTAAAACGTGTGTTCTGTTTTTAAGTCGCCGAATATACATGTACATAAGCATCATAAAATATATTGATTATTTAACTTGAAGCTATAATAATTTTGGTTGTTTTTATTATATTTATTCGTCTCTACGTCATAGAGATATAGTAATAATAAATTACGCCAATGATATCACTGAATCATTTTGTACCAAACATCCTGATTGTTACGTAATTACGGCTGATTTGTTTTTATTCCTCTTGCATGGAAATCTAAGGTTTAAGCAAAATGAGTTATCTCAAAAGATTACTGCTCTCTTATAGACAATTCCACGTTTATTTGTCTTTACGTCATAGAGAAAGAAGAATAATGAATCATGTCAATGAAATCACTATGCTAGAAAATCAAAATTGATAGCCAACCCTATCTTTGTAATGTTTTGCTACGGCTGTGAATAAAATAAGTGAATTAAGAATCAAAGCACAGAAGGCGCTGAATTTGTTTGGGTCTCAGAATGTCAGAAAGGTGAAGGTTGTGAAATTATAAAACAATTTGTTTTTGTATAGTGCCACCAATGCTTTCCAGCGTTTTAATTGTAGTAGAATGGCTATAAGACTAATTGCAACACTGACATTCGATCCAATGTTTATTTGACTTAAACAATTTGAAAAAAAAAATGAGTTGCCTTAACTGGAAATTGAACTCCAGTCATCTCGCTTCCTAAGCGAGCGCGCAAACCCCTCGGCCACGGTGAATTTATATGTTAACGGCCTAAAGAAAACCATAGTATTCTAGTAAGGATTTGTAACGACGCTAATTGTTGTCTAACACGTGTGTAAATAATCATGGCCCTTACTATAAGCATGTATATCTATAAAGAATAAAACAATATTAGAAATATTCGACCATTCGGGAATTATTTTGCTTGAAAATTAATCCGCCAGTCATGTTACCATATTAACGCAGTGATCTCCCCTAAATTTTTCGGCCTAAGTGTTACATATAAAGGGAAGTAACCGCTTCAAAAAAGCGGACTACTTTCGGCACTTGCAATTTACAGCATTAGAGTCTGAAATTTCGCTACCATTATTTGTTTGGTCTGACGACCCAAACAAATAAAAAACACTCAAGTCAACCATAGAAACTATAAAATATATTGAAGGTATAATAGAGGACCATGTTTAATATGCACCCCTACATTATTTTATATATAAAAACAAATAGCAAAAATGTCTAGGAAAATGTAATATGATAAAGATACTTTTGAATATTTTGATAAGTTCACTTATCATAATCTCGCAGAAAAAGAGAAAAATCTTTATTAAAAAAATAATTAAATTTGCCATTACTGTAGGTGATGTTGTCAAATTTTGGCCAGGTCGCTGAATTAAAAAACTAATGCGAATTTACGTCATTGAACTGGTTAGATGAGTTTGATAGATGTCTGAAACTCAGTTTTTACAAGAGCCCATATGTACGGAAGCGTCCCGGTGCCAATTTAATATGTTCTATAAAAATTATAACTGCTACGTAAGAGATAAATAAAGCCTAATTTAGAGTTTGTATTTCCTACGTAGGACTTTATAACTCCTACGTAGGAGATAAAAAAAACCTTATTAGGACTTTTTAACTTCTACGTAGGATATTTATCAAAGTGCGCGACGGACATGTATGCTAGAACATATCTTAGGATAGCAAATTATGTAGGAAATTACATAATATTGTAAAATTGTTATTATGGCAAGCCGCTTTACTAAATACCCTTATTCTGTAGCCAAAGATGGTTTTGAGCGAAATATCCAGATCTCCATAATCTGATTACTAGTAATTGTCGAGCAGTAAAACTGAATATTGAACTCACTAAAGAATTATTAGATTATATCGTTAATTTTGTTCTATATTCGAAAACAAATATACATACATGTATGTCAGAATCTTATTTTTTTTACTTTATCCTTTATTTTATCTACATTTACACGCTTTGCATGATTAAAGATGAATTTTTTTAACGTGTAATGTAACGTTTAAATCATATCATTTGAGAACAAGGCAAAAACGCACTAACCAACATATTCATTATACAAAAAAAATGAATTACTAGTAGTTAACTTTGTTCAATCTAGAATATACTGTAATTCATATTTAAATATATACATGCATCATTCTTTGCAAACCGCAACTTTCCGGAACAGGGACAAGACACCCCCAAATGTATAAATTGCTCGTTTTGTTCAGCTAGTTCGTATGGAAATTTTAATCTTTATAGCATTTTAAAATTATGATATATATTCATATTTTAGACACTTAAATCCTTCTTGCCGGGTAGAATTTTTGAAGCGCTGTGAAGTAATTTTTCGTGATACATCGCAAATGCTTCCAGACACTTCACACCCCAGAAACCTGAGAACTAGGAGAAGTGGCCTCAAAATTTAAGATTTGAAATTATTATTTATTCATTCATTTATTTATTTATTTATATTTTTGGGGGGAGGTCTGTGGTTTGTGAGAGTTAAGTGTCTTGTTCCATCGCCGATATATCTGTCCGAATGTTGAGATTTGCAAAGAATTCTGTATGCGTACGATTGAATTTGATTTGTCCTAGTTTGTACAGGGTTTTATTATACAAAGATTTAAAAACTCATTATTAGGCTTTTTTATATTCAACGTGGAGTTATAAAGTCCTACGTAGGACTTTTACAGTCCAACGTAGCAGATATTTCCTACATAGGAGTTATAAAGTCATACGTAGGAATTACATTGGAGATACAACAAATGCCTTTTGGACCTGATTTACAGGTAAATATCAACATCGTTCGAAAATATCAACAAAAACGGTACAATTTAACGCCGATTTAACAAAAAGTATTCAATTTGCAGAAAAAAGCAAATACTGCCCTAAACTCTGACATATTTAGCTTCACAAAATTGTTTAGTTTGGAAAAATCGATGGAGTTATGATGGAGAAATAAGTTGAAACATTACCTTGGGTGAACTCGACGTAAACCTTTTTACTTTCGTTTTCGGAGTTTTGAGGGGCTATATCCGGTGGACGCTGTACAACAGTAATTCTGTTTGAAATACCCTGCAAACACTATCCTGTAATATCTGAGGCTATTCGTTGCCAAAAATCCAGCCTTAAACGAAAATTAATAGGCGGAGCCAATTTCACGAAAGCAGAATATAAAGAGAGGTAACCCTTGCTGGTACAAAAATATTTCAAATTATATAGAAACTGTTACATCAATCTTGACTTTGAACATCCTCTGATTTTGTTAAAACGTATTCTAGTACAGGATATTCAAGTAATGCAAAATTGGTTAAGATATAATGTAAAAATGTAACAACGTATATACTCATAATGAGCATAATAATATGCAAAAACTAAAGTTGGTGAAATAACATAAATAATGTTTCCCATATATAATGACACACACCACTATTCATTGATATCAATAGTAGGGTTTCGCGAGCCACGGCTGTACTCTTTTAAAAGCGTATCTCAGCAAATAATACTGGAATGCGATACATGGAAGGCACTTTTGGCAACACGAATAAAGAGAAGTGAACAATAAGTCTGTGCCTTCTTTCATTAAAGGACAATGTTGGGTTGTAGAAGAACTCATATTTTTTACCAAGTGTATAACCACGAAACAATGCAAAGGTTACTATCGATAATTCCGTTGTTTAACCAAAACTTGTGAATTTGTCCCATTTTAATGTTGAAATAAATATTCAGTGTATCCCGGCAACTCTGTTTACCTCCATTGGGTGGTATTTTGAGTCATAGGATGTGATTTAGCCTTTTATTGTTAAATATATGTAAGCTGGCGTAGGTTAAGGTCTTTTTATGCATTATACTGAATCAACAGCACCTCTAAAATATGTGTATACATGCTGTCATTAGCTGTTACCTAAATTTGCTGTCTAAATTTGCTGTCTATATGATCAAAAACAGAGAACTTCTTAAAATATGTACATGAAATGCTACACAGAATATTTATTAAGTTTTGTAAGTGATGGCTTTCTAAGAGATAAAATAAACAAGGTATACATAAATTGATAATAAACATACATACATTTGGACTCATTTAAATTTTACTTATTGAAAAACAAAATGGGAAAAATGGGAAAATATATGATAAAAATAAAAAGTTATGTACGAAAGGGTACATACAACTTTGGTTATTATTTTACTATTGTTAAAAGTTTTTTTTTTCTTGTCAAGTCATACGCTAGAATTAAGGTTACTAATATAATAGTACTACTAGGAAAGACAACAGCCAGAATTTGGTCTGTATTAGTAATTAGTCGTATCAAAATCTCTATCAGATGTTGACTTGAAAATTTGAAAGTGGTAAGGTAGCAGCTTAGCTGTAAATGTTACTCATTCCTATGCAAATTGGAATACCATCAATTGGTAAAATTTATTTGTCGTTGAATATAGTCTTTTCAATAGTTTTCACTTCCTTGAAAAATATTTAACTTCAGACAGTATGTAACCTGGTGTTTTTTGGGTTTTTTTTTAAGTTTCTTTTTCAAGGAAATGTGGTGTCTACAACGTTTTAAAACTTATATGCCTATATTCCTTTAAAGTCCGCTGATGTTATTGTAGGCAATCATGCAAGTGAATTATGTTTAGTAACTAAACACCTAAAAGGTAAGATAATTGGAAACTACGCCGCTTCTTGTCGCCGACGGTAAATACCGAAAATGAGCGGAAAATACGTTTATTTACGATGATTTAGTGGGCGGGAAAATGGGCGGAGCTTATTTTATCTCCTATTGAAAAACGTGTAAAGCTGGATTATGCTGATCTGAATCATGATGGTTCGACAATGTAAAGCTAAGAATGTAACTTCTGTTTTGAGTATTCGAACACCTGGTATTGCTACTATCAGTTAATGTTTTGTCGTTTAACAAAATGTATTTTGTTGAAATGCATGTTAACAATGTTAAGTCGGCAAACTCAATCCAAGTATGCAACATTGGAGTTTACATACAAAGAAATACAATTGTATTTTTTCCATTAACAAACTGTTCAACTTAGATCAACAAGGCTGGATTTTTTGGCAACGAATAGCCTCCATACTGTAAAACCATCCAAAAGGTATCATAAACAGCACTGGAAAGTCAAGGAAAAAACACCATTTTCAACCTCATATTTCAAAATTTTCTCAGTTTATGGGAGGGGACACCCCTCCCAGGCCCACCCAAATTTAAAAATATTTTTCTTAGTTCCATATCATCTTAATATTTCCGGAAATATTAGTATACACATATATAAGCGAAAGAACACTGCCACTCATAAAGATGAGCTATAAAACACATAAATTACAATTTTTGTCACATGAACAAGATATTGGCCCTATCTTCAAACATGCACAATTTTCGCATTATTTTTGTCAAAATCTTCCACCCATATGTCAGCCCCCCCCCCCCCCCCCCAGGAAACCATGTTCTGTATCCGCCCCTGGTATTCTTGGTGAACATTTCTTATAGCTTTAACCAATGTCAATGTATATTATTCAAGTCATAGCAAATGACTGCTTTCTGGCTGGTTAAACTTATCGCACAAAACAATTTCTTTGGAGTTTGCAGGTATGTAGAATCCATGATAGGAATGAATTTTCCACCTCCGAATTATGTTTCTTTATTCCTTGTAGGAATTTTTCACCTCCGAACTATGTATCTTCATCCCTTGTAGGAATTCTCCACCTCCGAATTATGTATCTTAATCTCTTGTAGGAATTCTCCACCTCCGGATGATTTATCTTAATCTCTTGTAGGAATTCTCCACCTCCGAATGATGTAGCTTTAACCCTGATAGGAATTTTCCATCACCAAACAAGTATCTGTATCTTTAACCCTGGTATGAATTTTCTACCTCCGAATGATGTATCTTTAACCATGGTAGACAGGCTCTACACCACCTTTTTGTGTTCATATTAGTATACGGCAGGTTCACGAATTTTCAGGCACGCAAAAAATGTTTTAATATTTCAGTCAACCCGGTTGGGTTCTTTCCCAGAAGAGTCTTAATAGTCGCTTGTTGGGTATAAATTTCGGTCAAACATAAAACGCACATGTGCAAAATTACTTCTTTTGCTGTAGAATTTTTGTGACGTAAAAAGTCTATGGAGTTTATCCTGAAAACATGAGGAATAACTTACCCTTATCTAGTGCATTTTAATAAAGGTATTAACGACTTCGTGTCACGATCAGCATGAATCTTGTAGGATAATAAACAAGTAATTCCAGCATGCGTCAAAAGGTAATCTATATTAAGACTTTTTTGGCGCGAAACTGGTGTCCACAGACGACATTGCATGTTGCTAGGAAGACGCCTAGTTATTTATCGGAAAATAACAGCGTGTCGCTGTTTAATATATATTCCCCTAATAGAAAGAATATGCTATCATATCGTCTCATATATTGAAACATTGTTTGACAAGAAGAAAATAAGTTGGTTATGAGAACATCTGACGTTTCAGTGTTTTTGGCAATAGTGGGATATCTTGGTGGTTTAGGACAAGCCCATGATGGGTATGTTCTTTATTGTTTATTCATATTTGTTTTATAATCATTCTAGTTATATTTACAAATACTTTTACAGGATTTATAGGTGTTAATTTTGTGTATGGTTTTGAATGAAAATAGATTAATTGTAAATTTGATAAAACGAAAAACAATTTAAATGATCATTTGCTTTATTTATGACACCTGATGAGTAAAACTATTTTGTATTATTATAAACAGAAATCTTGTCTTGAAAAAAAAAACAAATAATTTCAGAAAACATTGATTTGTGTATTCAAGTTTTTCTGATTTTTTTTAACTAATCAATGATTAAAGGCACTCGACCAGAAGCTCTTGATTAGATACATATGAGCAGCGTCTCGACAAAACCAACATAATAAGTTTGCGACCAGCATAGATCCAGACCAGCCTGCGCATCCGCGCAGTCTGATCAGGACCCATGCTGTTCGCTATCATTTTCTTTACTTGTTATAGGGTTTGTAAGCGAACAGCATGGATCCCGATCAGACTGTGCGGATGCGCCGGCTGGTCTTGATCCATGCTGGACGCAAACCCATTATGTTGGTTTTGTCGTGACGCGGCTGAAATGTACTGTATATGATATAAATGTGACTTGGAGAATCAACATAACAATTTTGAAAGTGGTCGTTTTATTTACTTCGGAAATTATAAGCTGAGTTGAATGATATATTGAATGACCCTTGTATTTCACCATTTTGTCATTTTCACAAAGTAAGTTTTATCATTTACATTTGTTTATTGCTTTAAGAAAGATGTTTAAAATAGAGCTTTCGAAAGAGCCTAAATTTGTGGCGAGAATTAATGATATCTTTTGGGAATACTTAACCTGTTTTCTTTTCCACAGACAAAAGCTATAAAAAAGATTAAATTTATAGATGAAATAACGCGTGATTTGCGAAATTTGATACACTACAGGAAACTGTATTGACAGTAGAGAGTTTCTTTAAAATATTCAAATACGAAAAAAGAAGATCAAGTGTAAGGTTCAACACAGAATAATCAGTGTTCTGATTTTTTACCTTTAAATTTACAGACGCAATCACAGTTTTGTTTCATATGTCGGAATAACGACTTTCTCGATATATATAATATATAATTTAAATCATGGTTACCAAGGATACCAATAATTATCATAAAAATACGCTTAAAATTCACGAGAATTGTACGAAAGTGCATTATATCTGTGAAGTTATCCTTTAAAATATTTACGTGTTCAAAATAAAAGAGTAGTTAGTAGAAAAAAAAGCTTAAAAAAAATACTGTTCAATTACTTGCGTTAAACCAAATAAAAACCATACAAATCTCACCCCATCTTGTATTACAGTAAGAAGCTTTGCATAGGATAACAGCAACAAAACGAAAATTAAGTTTATGTAACGTTCATAGTACCTTACAGTATAACTTAATTAGATAATTAATATAAAAGATTTTTGTTAAAAAAATGCAACTACTGCTTATTATTTTCCAGCCCACCTTGTAACTTTTAATGCTGTAGTGACAGACGGTGTTTCAGTTATTATTTTAGTAATGTCCAGTCGTTATGCATTATACCCGGTATCCATTCGGACTTCATTCATTTGGACTCTGTATAAAACTAAACTAAATCTCTATCCAAAACATTTAACATGTCTTTAACAGTGATTTTTCTGAATTTGCAAGTCTAATTTATCTGGCGTTTATAGTACAATTTCAGACTTGAAATGAAATATACTGACGTTTTAGGTACTGAAAACATTTACGAATATGCTGCTGCTTTTATAACTCTAAATGCATAGGTTTTAGTTTATGACAAATGGTTTAACATTTCACTGCAATTCCCAGTTGGAAAATACGATACTTCCTACATATAATTTTCTCTTATTATAAAACATATGGTCATTAAGAAATAATTATTAGATATTATTACCCTTCCCTTTTTTTTTAGTAATGTTAATTTCCCATATCCCAATGAGAATTATTCTTACTGTTAATGCTGTTGTACCACATGACTATGAAATTTGTATTCTTACATAGAACCGTAAAAAAGCCGTAATTTAGTAATTACTCTGAAAAAAAAGGATGAGGAAAATACCTGAAATTTTGCACATAAGTTATGGTTTAGACCCTCATTAATTGGTAAACCAATATCGGGGAAATATTTCCAGAGCCGTCATTTTAAAAGGAGTACTTCCCTTTAAACTGTTTCATACAATGATATTTATTCTTAAATTAGATCATAAAGTAACCCTTTGGGGTTCAATGATGAATACAAAATTAACATTGTTAAGCTTTACAATGCAATGGTTATAAATGATCTTTATATGTATAAATGAATTTCAATTTTCTTCGCAAAAACGTTTTGCGTAATTTACAAATGTTAAATTGTTCTGTGTGCGCCCAGTATCTCTTCATTTGCATATTCATTTCAGTAAGAGCATTTTGTATAGATTAATTTAGCTGCTAGGACAAGTGAGAATGTCAATTTGCTTTATACATTTTATAATAAATGTCCTATTGTAATATCCTATTGTAGTTACATAAATTATTAATAGATCAGTTTGTGATATTATCTGGCATATACATGCATGTATAGACTGCTTGTGCTACGGCTAATATCTTTTTGTTACTTATCAGAATATGTACAGATCATATTAAAACTGTGAAGAATGTATATGTATATTATGCGAAAATTGTTTACTATGAAATTTCAATAATGATCAATTATCTCTGGGAAAACATGCAGTATAGGGAAAGGAGATAATGTATGTTAAATGCTTAAAGAGTCGCGTCACGACAAAACCAACATAATGGGTTTGTGACCAGTATGTATCCAGACCAGCCTGCACATCCGCGCAGTCTGATCAGGAACCATGTTGTTCGCTATCAGTTTCTCTACTTATAATAGAGTTGGTAAGCGAACAGCATGGATCCTTATCAGACTGCGCGGATGCGCAGGCTGGTCTGGATCCATGCTGGTCGCAAACGCACTATGTTGGTTTTGTCGTGACGCGGCTCCTATATGAATATATATCAATGTTGTCAATGATGACTTATAGGCTATGAATACGGATTTTAATGGTATTTTGAACAAATGCTAAAACTCAAAAGAGTTCAAATATTCTGGACATTGATAATTTATTGTGGAAAAGTCAAGAACCGAACTTATCCACGAAAAAATTATAAGTCACTGAGGGTCACCTTGCAGAAAAAACATCCATCCGTCGGACCGCAAACATGGAACGGACTGACAAAAGCTGTTTGAAAGAGTGCCTGTAATACTAGAATGTACTAGTACTTTAAATCAATAATATTTCTATTATAAATGATATTGTTTTAAGACGGCATTACAAGAACTGTCCAAAAAAAATAATTGGGCATCTACGGTATTCGTAAAATGAGTTTTTTTTGTAAAATATGCTAAGCTGAATATTAGAGGTCCGACAAACAGCATAAGTGCTTTATGTGGAAATTACTTTAATATTTTTTTATTATTTTTGTGTGAATCGTGATGGCCATCCTTAAAATTCTATTATATCAAGTGTAAATGCCCGCTGAAAATTCCATAGGAACAGAACAGAGGGAAAATATAAATGAAAGAAATGTATAATACATGTATTACATAATAACCTGATCCGTTTAGTCATTCACCATGTATAGTTTGATATTAGACACCAACTAAAGTGTATAAATTTGTTTCATGGTCTTTGAAATTCAATGATAAATCATAATTTATTTGTCATGTTTGATAATAAAATATTAAGACACAATCAACATAATGCAGCGTAAAGGGATATACCCACTAAGGTTTTTTGACATTACGGTACTGGGAATAATTTTCCGAGATTAATGTTTAATTTGATGCAGGTCTAGACCAATAACCTGTGTGCAAAATTTCAGATCATACACTCACTACATTTTTTCTCCCAGGTTAATTTCTCTTATTGTGAAAAATACTTTATGTTTTATTATAAAGATGGGGCAATAGAGGTAGATCTGGCGAGAGTAAAAGCCGTATGTGTCCGCTTGAGGACAATGAAACACACCGTTGCTATGAACTAATCACAGAGAACAGCACGTGCATCATAAAATATTTAACCGGATGTGGCCCGGACTATTCTCAAAACTGCAGGTAAGTTTATGGACTAGATTTCTCATTTACCACTAGCTGAAATGACAGTAAAGACACCATTATCAAAGTAGAGATGAGAATTTTATTTCTCGAATGTGTTTTTCAAACCTCGTGGATAAAACGTTAGGCAAATTATCGATTTCACTGAAACAAACGTGCTTTGCAAAATAGAACAAATTCAAGCAATTAGCGGTAATAAGGCTTCACGAAATTATGTTAATGTTTTCCTGTCAATATAATGACAAAGATTACATGAAAAGCCTATGGGAGATCTCTTATAATTGAATTATGATTATATTTTTTTGTATCTGTCCTTTTATGGTTTTCCCTAGACATGTATTAAATGGCGTAACCAAGTATTGATTGGCAACGTCATGCACATGCAAATGCATTTTCTAAAATCATGGTCTAAAATTCCGTTGTGGCAAAATGATAGCAAAATAAAGCAATGTATGTTACAATGATCAAAAGACATTTTATGATCTTTCATAGGTGTCTCTTTTTCTCACAATATTGTTTTCTCTTTAATATTGATGGAAAATTGAAAAATGTTTCGCTTCCCTTGGATATATAGTCATACAAAAATTGAAATATATTTCTTTATAAAAAATAATTGTAAGTGTTCTGTATCAACTTTATTTAATAAAGCAAATTTGGTGGAAATATGAAAGTTTACCTATGTACATTTGACAATGTATTTGAGCCGCGTCATGACCAAACCAACATAATGGTTTTGCGATCAGCATGAATCCAGACCAGCCTGCGCTTTCGCGCAGTCTAATCAGGATCCATGCTGTTCGCTTTTAATCTTTAAACAAAGTAGAGAAACTGATAGCGAACAGCATGGATCCTGATCAGACTGCGCGGATGCGCTGGCTGGTCTGGATCCATGCTGATCGTAAACCAATTATGTTGGTTTTGTCATGACACGGCTCATTTCTTGTTTTTTATATCTAGATTTCTGATTGTATACGAGCGCAGGCCATGCATGGTTTATACGTGTAGTCATCAAGGGTGTTGTGAAGGTTATGTCGAGAATGGCTGGGGAAGCTGTATTTTAGGTATGTTTTTTTGTTGTTGTTTTTTTTTGTTTGTTTTTCTTTTTAGTTTTTTTCCCCTCTTTTATTTTATTTTACTCACAAGAATCATATCAATGTTAAATAACGACTTCCAGTCGTAAGGAGTGGAGGTAAACATTTTTCTTGTAGAACAGCAAATTTGATTGATGTAATTTACAAAACATACAAGGTGTATCCTTTTGGCATAAATACGCACATTTGGTGATACATACCAGAGTCTTGAAAGGTGAAATAAGATCGCTAGCATTTATTTTTAAATGGAATGTTACGATAGTATTTTTGCATATCGTGAGACTTATTTATTGAAAGGCGTTATCGCCTTCATGTGCCGTCGATTTCATATAAACTCCTGTCACACTATGGCAGCGTTCTCACGGCGTACAAAGAAAATTCACTGTGGCATTGCTGTGGCATCGCACAGAACGCCGACAGACGGAGCGTATTTTGGGTATGCTCAAAAACAAACGCTGTCACTCGGCTTTCTGATAATAGCGCAGTTGGTTACAGTAAGGGCGCTGCATCTCCTACAGCGCAACAGGAGCGCTGTGAAAACGAAGAAAGATCGACGAATAAATGCCGTGGCTAGCCGGAGATTGTAAGGCGTCTCTACCGCGCTTTTAATGTGTGTGTGCACGGTGCGTTTACGGAGCTTTACGATTTCATCGCAGTGAAAGCGCCGCGAGAGCACCGTGCGAGCGCCGTGAAAGCGTAAAGCAAGCAGTCAGGTCTCCAATTAAAACGCCGTAAGAACGCATTATACTGCTGTGGGAGCTCTGTAGTAATCACCGTGAGGACGCCCTGAAGAGGCCGTGAAGTCTCCATGTCATAAAAAAACCAGATTTTTCTTGCGATCTGACGGCGCTTTGTTAAATTTAACAAAGCCGTGCAAACGCAGTGAAAGTTCAATATAGACCGTTACATAGGGCTTAACAATAATATACCGGTATCAGAACTTGTTCTCCCTTTTTATGGTTGCGCTTGGGGAGAGGGTGGGGTTAAGTCATACCGACATTGTAATGATGTTCATATAGCAATTTTCCAGCTTTTATTCCGGGAAGAAGACCTCAGGATGACGGTCATCAACGTCCATACGGTCCTTCCCACTCGTTCGAGTGCGGTGGACTAACAGATATCAATTAACGTTCAAAAGAAATAAAAACAACTACAACATTTTCCGATGTTTAAAAGGTACATACAAATATATTGTAAAGGGAATAATAAGTGTTAAATTTCCTAGAATATTGGAAAGCTAGCCAGCTGTATGGCGTGTAATTTTTCCTTTTACATGTCTTTTATTTCATGCAAGTACGGTAATGCTGCCATAGATGTTAGATTTTCTTTGGTTGTTTATAACATATTGAAGCATTGAGACATTTTTTGACATTGTTTTGCAAAATTGATTTTTTAATATTTTTTTTACTTATCTATTTATGTTTTTATTCTTGTTGTTGTTGCTTGTTTTTGCTTGTAATACATTCATCTAGAAAATATATATTTCCTATTAGCAGAGACATATAATTTAGCTTTATGCTGTTAGCTGTTAGCCTTGTTCGAAAAAGTGGTCAAAGGTAAAGGTTATACATCCGCGAAAATAATCAAAGAGTGACTTTTGAAAATTTTGAAACACAGTTTTTACATTCTTAAATTAGTGATAAGACTACTGGTAACGATGTCAAATTTATATTATTTCATAAAGTTCACCCTTCCAATGTCCCAAAGCTACAGGTCTATTTTCTACTTAAAGCACATGCTTTATGATTTTATAAAATATTCCAAAGGAAATACAACTAAAAAGAACCGTTTTAACCTTAAGTCTGCTGGCGACAAGAGATTATTCCCATGTGACCAGTTCAGACTCGGACCAGACGACAAATCCGTGTCTTCTGATTATGGTCTACAATGTTTACTTCTTCTTCAGTACTTATCTTAAAATTGTCTTTAAATATGACACGTTGAAATATGATAAGATATTTGATGTTTTTAAGGGCAATCAACCGAATTGTTCTTTATATCTCTATGTAACCGTATCAATGTATCTTCCTTTAAACTATCGTGAAAGCAACCAGTCTATAGAAGAATTAAAAAAAACAACAGTAATTGAATGTCTTTTTGGGGAGCGTTTTGTGCTGATAAATACAGTCTAAACCTTTTTATGGAGCATATTTTTACGAACAATTAAAAATCGTGATTTTACAATCAACTTACTACATTGTATATACAAATGACATTAAATTTTACGATATGAAAAAAAAAACAATAACTTAATTACATGTAAAAGAAATAAGGTAGATATACTCGTATTTATGCATTATTGTTACATAGAGAAGGAAAAACAGGCTTTAGTGTGCGAGAATGGCGGCGAAAACACCGAGGACGGAGGATGTGAATGTACTGAACATTTCAAGGGAAAACGATGCGAAATTCGTATGTATTTGTAATTGTATAACAACAATAAATTACATTTTATTATATTTTCATTTTATTTAAACTATTTCAATTATTCGACCTTAGTTCTTATCTTACATCTGTCATCCATGCTATTTGGGGTTTATACTATGACGTCATGTTTCTTTTCCTATTTCGTTTAAGAGTTTTATTTTCATGACATTTTTTCCACAAACATCTAACATCACATTGTCGTGTGTCAAACTTCATGATTCTTTTCTTTGAATTATATTTAACAATGTTGTATTGTACGAGAATAAATTGCGAAAACTACTTATAACAAAACCTCGTGCTTTGCGTTGTTTTACCAGAATTTTGCCTCGGCAGTTTCACAAATAAAACCATTGCGGCATGAAATAAAATATAAAGATCATTTTCAGCTGACTGCGGGGAACCATGTTTAAACGGTGGACGATGCGGGATTGAGAATGGACATCCGAAGTGTATTTGTCCGTCATCTCTGCATTCAGGAAACTTTTGCGAATCTGGTAAATGTTTGGCAAAATATTTTACGATGACAATGGCATAAATGTAAACCACAATGGTGACATGTTAATAACTATGATTGAAAAAAACACATCAAAGTGCGATTATTGCATATTTGTTATTCATTAAAAACAATGGAAATTTTAATTTTTCAACTGAATCACCTGCTTTTGGTTCGTTTCTAGGAAAGAATTTCGTTTCAGACTCCTTGTTAAATAATACTGTATCAAATGATGCTTAGAAGCGTATCATATGATGCTTAGAAACACAAGTGAGATTGCATGAGAGGTTAATTTCAAAATCTATTTCCGTTCCAGAATGTTTCTGCCTTCAAAATGGTTACAAATATTGTAAGTTTTCTTGCGTCCACAACATGGCACAACGTCAGCCTTTCTTGTTTGTACTGAAAACTCACATGTAGTGCGGGCAGGGCATTTTGAATGAGAAGGGATAAAATAATCAGTGACTTATTATCATAAACTGACTTGCCTTTATTTCAGTGTCTTGTACTGATTCATGCCTTCATGGGGGTGAGTGCATCCAAGATGGAGTTCTCTCCCGTTGTAAATGCACCCATGGTTACCAAGGTGACCGTTGTCAGTACGGTAAGTTAAAGTTCATTATAAATATCTAGATTTTTTATATATTATTTATTGGAGAAGTTTTTGTTTATCTTGAAATATCTTACAGGTTCAACTCTCTGGTGGTTTTAAATCAGATAAAAACTATCTTCAGGAAATAAAATGTCTTTAATTTGTTACATCTTATAACCATGTGTTTTTTTCTCTCTCTGTAGTACAAAAGATAATTTTACAAAGCTACATAAAACCGTTAACTTTAGTTTAAAGGAAACAATTTAAGTCAACCGACTTTGTTTCATTGGTTTTCATATGAAATTTCATATAAATATAGTATTACGTGTAATTAAGATTCAAGATTTAGATAGGATTTCTACCTTAAATAAAAGACTTCATAATATCAAAGTCATAAAACCTAGAAATATCTTAGTATTGCGTAAAATGACTATTACACCTGACTTGTTTTGTTATTAAAATGTTGTATATTACGTAAATAGAAATCAGTGAAAAATGCCCGATGGTACAAAGCCGCAGCAGGGTTCTATGTGAGAAAATGGGAGAGTGGAAAAATGAGTGTGAATCTGATATTGACTGTTCTAACAACACTGACACCACTGTTTGTTGTTACAACGGCTGTAATGGTGAATGTAGGTTACCAGAATTTGAGGAATGCATTTACAATGGAATGATGTACAAATCTGGTGATACCTTTAGTCCTGAAACTTGCAAGGTACCCAAACTTCAGTATTTAATTATGATATGAGCCGCGTCATGACAAAACCAACATAATGGGTTTGTGACCAGCATGGATCAAGACCAGTTTGCGCATTTACGCAGTCTGATCAGGATCCATGCTGTTTGTTATCAGTTTCTCTACTTGTTATAGGGTTTGTAAGCGAACAACATGGATCTTAAGCGCAGCCTGATCTGGATCCATGCTGGTCGCAAACGGACTATGTTGGTTTTGTCTTGACGCGACTCATAGATCTAAAACTCTTTTGACTTGGCGTCCGTTATGAAAAGATGTTCTATTGACATTTGAGTTCATCATTACGATATATATGCAAATATAAAGAGGTTCTTAAAAAGCGTTTTGACAAATTTAAATTAATTATACTAGTAAATTGCATGTCAAAAAATGACGTTTTCCAAGGGCTTGAATCAAGTATAATTTCATTCTGAAAGTAAAGATATAGGTTTTTTGCAAATCAATATAATAAATGATTCAATATTAAAATTTTTATCTTCTGATTGTAACAGCATGCCCAATAACATGTATGGTATAAATGGTAAGACTTGATAATATTGTGATAATATTTGATTTAATGATTTATATTATTTTAGAAATGCGTTTGCCAAATGTATGGCGAGGTTAGGTGCACTACTATCAAGTGTGACGAAAAACAATGTCCAGACGGACAAGAGCCTATAAGTATTGATGACCAATGCTGTAAAGTCTGCCCAGGTATATATATATATGTCTGAATATCACTTAATACATAATTTATCATAATTACATACATTTATTTTACTTATGTTTTTCCTTTGGTCTTGTCTCCATATTAGGTTTATACACCCTGAATACAGCACTTTCAACAATGATTATTTGTGAGAGTAGACATTAACAGCCAACGTATAATTTCAGTCGTTGGGGATGGGGGGGGGGGCGAAAACATGGATACAAAAAAATTGGTTTACTTTGTTTTGAGGACAGGAGGACATTTCCTTTGCCTTTATCAAAATCTATATCAACTACTTTATATATCTCAGCTATTACGTTGAAAGCTATATTCATTTCTAATTTATTTTCATGTTTTAAATCAATAATCGAGTTTTTTTACATTCATTTCCGAGTCTTACAATAGAAATGGAACGGAACAGAACCTCCCTGCCTAGTGGCTAATCAGCTATCACTTGCTACTATCTTGGATGAGTCTTTCCCAGTTATTACTTAAGACTTGGCTAATATAGCGCATGTATCATTTCGTATCTAACTTATGGTTCAACAGGATAATAACAATCGTTTCAAGTTTATTACATTTCTACATTGTAGGTTCTCATAGCTGTTACATGTAAGTAAAATAATTTCATAGGGATATATTGTTATAATTTTTTATAATGTTTATATATCTTCCAGGCACAGACACTTACTTAAAAGGTAAGGGATATATATGTATGTCAACTTAACTATTAATGAAAAAATAGCATCTACCAAAATTGCTCATTAACGGTATTGATTAAAAGTACAAAACATAATATTTTCATATCATCAAGTAAGTTAAATCAATAAATCAAAAATGGGCGTTTCAATTAAATCATTGACCTATTGCACACGGCGGCAACCTCCTGGTTACCTTCATTGTTGGAGAGACTGCAATTGTTTCGCAGATACTTTTTACTTGAGGAATTTTAGATTTGTGTTAAATTGATCATGTCTTAAAACAATATAGAAAATTAACATTTAAACATTTTTACAGCTCCGAAGTTTACAAACTGCCCAGACATTTTTGTTGTATTGAATGTCAGTGAAAATGGCGATACCGCACATTTACCGCGACTGGGTCTTCAAGCTGTCGACAAGGATGGATCTAATCTGCCTGTAAGCTGGACATACTAATATAAAATATACTTTCACACTTATGATTAAGGCAATCTGTAAAATAACATCACATCCCAGAAAACCTGTCATTTGGTGCTTCTATTACCATTTTTGGTGCATTTCTTTGTCGGCAAATTCAGTTATTTAAATAGGTTCTTTTTTGTAAAAATCTAAATTCTCGCAACTATGTCAAACATAAAGCTGTACACTCGAGATTTAAAGGGTATGATATTGTTTCTCCACATTCATATTCAATCATGTTCAACAATCTTATCGTCTTTTTTTAAGGTTTCATTTACACAGACAGAATTTATTCACAGTCGAAAGCCAGATTTAAGCAAGAATATTCACATCGTGACCGCTTACTCCGAGTGCGATCCTTACGGCAAGAGGGCCGAATGTACCTTTAAAGTTATTGTAAGGGGTATGTTGATTAGTTAATCAATGTTATACATGTATATATTTCCTGTTGATTGTACTGAATATTATGGAATTGTGATTAAATGCAAAATATTGCAAGTTCACAAACAACATTGCATAGACGTTGTGATGACGTTAAAATGCCACGTACGAGAAAATATACAGACAAAAGTAACTTTGCATCCCTCCATATCATTTGTGAACCACTAGTTGGAAAAGTTATAAAGTATCAAAGATCTTTCAAACTAACGTTTATATTTCTCTATACATATTTTGGCACAGTAAATCTTGCTTGAATCTCAGTTAAGTTCATCAATTTTTTATTTTGTCAACCTATGACATTTTGGAGGACATCATTGCAAGTGTGTGCTAAAAGACAGTAAACAACTTAAACAAACACTATTTATATTGTCAATCAAGTAAAAAGATTTTACACAAATTTATCACAAAATACTTTATTTTTTGCGAAACTTTAGTTGAAAATCAGCTATTTAATTGCTGGAAATATCAGTTTATATCATTGTCAGTTCCATTCTTTGTCGGAAAAAAAACAACAAAGCTTGCTTTTATCTTTTTTATATGCCCGAAAGAATTTCGGACATATTATGTTATACCCCCTGGCGTCCGTCCGTCCGTCCGTCCGTTAGCAATTTGGTTTCCGGAGCATAACTTAAGTTCCATTTGGCCCACAATATTCAATCTTCATAGGATGATTGTCCATATTGGGTAGAAGACCCCTATTGATTTTGGGGTCATAAGGTCAAAGGTTAAGGTCACTATGACCTTAAAACTGAAAACGTTAGCAATTTGGTTTCCGGAGCATAACTTAAGTTCCATTTGGCCCACAATATTCAAACTTCATAGGATGATTGTCCATATTGGGTAGAAGACCCCTATTGATTTTTGGGTCATAAGGTCAAAGGTCCTGGTCACTATGACCTTAAAACTGAAAACAGTTTCCGGAGCATAACTTAAGTTCCATTTGGCCTACAGTGTTCAAACTTCATAGGATGATTGTCCATATTGGGTAAAAGACCCCTATTGATTTTGGGGTCACAAGGTCAAAGGTCAAGGTCACTATGACCTTAAAACTGAAAACAGTTTCCGGAGCATAACTTAAGTTCCATTTGGCCCACAGTGTTCAAACTTCATAGGATGATTGTCCATATTGGGTAGAAGACCCCTATTGATTTTGAGGTCACAAGGTCAAAGGTCAAGGTCACTATGACCTTAAAACTGAAAACAGTTTCCGGAGCATAACTTAAGTTCCATTTGTCCTACAGTGTTGAAACTTCATAGGATGATTGTCCATATTGGGTAGAAGACCCCTATAGATTTTGGGGTCACAGGTCAAAGGTCAAGGTCACTATGACCTTAAAACTGAAAACAGTTTCCGGAGCATAACTTAAGTTCCATTTGGCCCACAGTGTTCAAACTTCATAGGATGATTGTCCATATTGGGTGGAAGACCCTTATTGATTTTGGGTCACAAGGTCAAAGGTCAAGGTCACTATTACCTTAAAACTGAAAACAGTTTCCGGAGCATAACTTAAGGTCTATTTGGCCCACAGTGTTCAAACTTCATAGGATGATTGTCCATATTGGGTAGAAGACCCCTATTGATTTTGGGTCACAAGGTCAAATGTCAAGGTCACTATTACTTAGAAATTGAAAACAGTTTCTTGAGCATGACTTTAGTTCCATTTAGCCCACAATATTCAAACTTCATAGGATGATTGTCCATATTGGGTAGAAAACCCCTATTGATTTTGGGGTCACAAGGTCAAGGTCACTTTTACCTTAAAACTGAAAACAGTTTTCGGAATATAACTTAAGTATCATTTGGCCTACTGTGTTTAAACTTCATAGTATGATTGTCCATATTGGGTAAAAGACCCCTTATGATTTTGGGGTCACAAGGTCAAAGGTCAAGGTCACTTTTACCTTAGAATTGAAAACAGTTTCTGGGGCATAACTTAAAGTTCCATTTGGACCACAATATTGAAAGTTCAAAGGAGGATTGTTATTTGAAGGAGGTAATACTTTATTTTAGTCCCATGTCTTACAAATGCTTCATTTTTACTAGAAAAAAAACACTTTCGGGCATATAATGCTCCGCCTAGCGGTGCTCTTGTTCCTTTTTTTCCACAGATCCCTTTCCTCCTGTATTCAAGTCCTGTCCCACTGATATATATGGTGACGAAGATTTAGTTGTATCATGGGACGAACCGTCTGTATACGACAATGTTGACATCTACAATACAGAAGTAAATGGTGACTCTATTCGCAATCAGAAGGATGTACCATTAGGAACATACGCCGTTACCTACACTGTCTGGGATTATGATATGAACCAAGCCGCATGCTCATTCCTTGTCCGAATTGTGGAGCAAAGTAAGATGATCAATATCTCTATAAGTGTAGTTCCTTTTTATATCAAATAAATGTATAAAAATTACAAGCAAAACATTTGAGCCATGTCATGACAAAACAAACATAATGCGTTTGCGACCAGCATGGATCCAGACAAGCCTGTGCATCCGCGCAGTCCTGTCAGGACCCATGCTGTTCGCTTACCAACTTTATTACAAGTAGAGAAACTGATAGCGAACAGCATGGATTCTTATCAGACTGCGCGGATGCGCAGGCTGGTCTGGATCCATGCTGATTGCAAACCCATTATGTTGGTTTTGTCTTGACACGTCTCATTTTTTCTTCCATATTTAGAATATTTAGAGTATTTATTACAGATACGTACATAAAATACGAGTAAAAGCGTGTTTCAGCAGGAGTTTGTCTTATGTGTAAGCGATTGGTTTTTCACAAAGGATGATATAGGACTCGACGTCTTATGTCATTTAATATGCAATAAATATCCTACAATTATAAGTCATTAAACTGATTATATAAGTTTTAAAGTCTATAGAAAAAACAAATATTACAGCTACTAAAATTCTGGTACATTTTTTATTGAGCAGAATGTTAGGTTAAACCGTTTTATATTTAATATAGCTGAAACATTTATTTTGTATTTAAATAATCTACAAATAAACAATGCTGCGGATGTTTCTGAATGTTGATACATTGATTTCTGCTTAAAGCTGCATGCCTCCAGATGAGCCAAAATATTTCAAGAAAATAAAACTTGAGAAAAATATATTGAGGTTTTATGAAAAGTAAAAAGACTAAAGATAAAAGTAATAATTTCCATGTTACTTGCGATTGATGTCCAATTTTTCAGTAATTTTCACCATATTTACTTAACAGTCATGGCTAATTTTGCATATTTTGACCTCTTTTTTGTAATTTACATTGGTTGTAAGTGTCGTTTGAAATGTGCATATTATTTTCTCTTGTCAGCATAACAATATTTTACTTTTAAAAACATTTTCAAAATTTTCATGAACATCAGCAGGAATTTGAAGGCGTGCTGCTTTAAGTAAGATGTAGGGGGTATGGGTGTGCCTTTCCTTTACCACTGCCATAGATGCGCATACGCCATCAAACCGACACGTGACATTTTTATCATGATGTTTCTATTTCATTTGACTCATTGTTTACTTTAGCCTTGGCAACAAGTGTCAGAGAACCATGCAACGGTCAGATCTCAGTGATGTCTATATGAGCCGCGTCATGACAAAACCAACGTATTGCGTTTGAGCAGCCTGGTCTGGATCCATACTGGTCGCAAACGCATTACGTCGGTTTTGTCGTGACGGGGCTCATTTGTTAACAATGTCTATGTTTCTATTTTATTTCAAGGTTTCTACGATATGAAACATGATGATGATGACAGCCCACGCTTCTCGGCAGGTTCTATCGGATCTCTGGGTATTTATACAAGAAAATTCCCTCCATTCAATTTTAAAATGTCATTTTTTTCAAATTTAGATTTTACCTTTTCATTCAATATGTATATGCTGCCGTTTAATTGCTTACGTGTTTTTGTTATTTCTTGGAGTTTTTTTTCTGTCGTGTGAGGTTGCTCATATTGCAATGCTCCATGCAGTTTGTTGTTGACGATGAAATGCATAATACAGTAGTACCTATGTTCCAGGGGCGACCCTAGTTCTCCTACAAGACCTCAGTTTTTAAAGTTTCATTCTAAAGACCATTAGTATTGTAAGTGGAGGAACAATGAATCGAACCTGCAATTCCTTGAATTATTACTAGTTAAACGTGTAAACCACTCGCTCTATAAATAAAAACTCGGAAATAATGGATTAAACAAAGATAAGCTTATTTCGAGTTCAATAATTTAACGGTCTTACTGATTGATGACTTTCATATGTTGTTAAGATAAAGCAGTGATAAGTAAGAAAAAACACTGAACAAATGCAAAACTCTGACTGGTGGTTTATTAAAAGTAATTGGCTAACACATCACATAGCTCTGTAATGTAAAAAGTGCTCCCCGCTTGTACAGACAAATATATGAGGTCATTGTTAGAATGTAGCAGTAAGCACAATGGTTAAGCTTTAAAAAAAATAAGAATACCCGAAGAAAGCCCAACAGAGCAAAAATGTCTTGTCTAAAATATTACACCATACACATTAACATTTTACAACAACTGATCTCATTTAACCGGACTGATCAGTCATTGAGCTCACTCAGCATCACCAAGAAAATAATTAACTTGTCTATGATGTTCTTTGTTTGAGTCAGGAATCAGTCGTGACCTCTCTCACACGAGATGGGGTTCATATTTTGAACACACTTTATGATACAGTACGATTTTAGTAACCTGTACATTGCAAGACAGTAAGGATTGCTGACCGCGTGGTTTTAGGAAAGTCGTTGTTTCATTGAGCAAGAAACTTTACATTCATTGCTTAGTACTGGTTAGTTCCAGGAACGGATTCGAGTGCTTCAGTTAGCTTATAGCTGAACTAAAATAAATGTGTATAAACTAAAACAGTAAAACATGATACCAGTATTATTGTAGATTTTAATTGTCATTGTTAAATCTAACATATTTTATATATTTTGTATACATGTACAGTTGGTATAGTGACAGGATTATTTGTTGCTGGTGGTCTGTGCATTTGTTTCTTTGTCCGTGTGCGGCAATTACACACTGAAGACGACGCTGAACGAAGCCAAGCCGATCAGAACACGGCCGTCTTTTCCGTATACGAGCCTACTATAAGCGAAAATGCCAGCTCGTATGAAAACGTGGATATCAAGCTGCCAAATTTGCCGGACTATTCTCCCGCAATTAGTCCACCTGCGTATGACCAGATTGATAACCCATACAGTGACAAGGAAAAAGTAGTTCCACCAATTTATGAGGAGATTGCTTCGCCCGCGTTTCCATCGGAAATGTACGAAAGCTTGCCGGAAAATCGCGATGACCGAGACCAGGCAGGTGACGGTAAAAACAATGAAGGATATGTGCACGATGAAAACAGCAGGAATAATAACACTGACTAAAACACAGTTTCATTTACAGTTGCAAGATCTTAAAATCTGCAGAGTATTTTTTTTAATTGTTAAAACTTTAACTTTGAGATATGAATACATTCACACTAATGTTTCAATATTTTATGTATTAAATCATGATTTATATGCATAAAGGACGTTAAAGTGGTAAAAAACATGTAAAATGTGAAATCTTTAGGATTTTAATTTTTTAACCTTCTTTTCGTCACGTCATATCTAAACGGTCAATCCACTTAACTGGATAGCTATTAGTAAATGCCAATTTCACTCTTTGTTCAAGTGACCGACTGCAAATCCCGTAAGATTTCTGAATCAGCGGTAGAAACAAATGTCTCTACTCACTTCTGCTTCATATTATAAGATTTGGTTACACCATTTAATACTTACTAAAACAAGTGTTCTTTTTATGTGGTAAATGATGTTTTAATAACTGATATTCACTGAGTGATGTAAATGATATATTTTTTAAAATGTTCCATTAATGAAAAAGCAAAAAGTAGATTTTGACAATTCCATTTGTTTGTGTGTTTTGAGCTCGGAAACTCCAAGCTCTCTTTTCAACAATAGCAGGATGGACCGAGCTCGGTCATTAAGTCATCGTGACTCGTGTTCCTGAATTAGCTTTTATGTTTATTTATTTATTTATCAGTATATTGTTAAGATTATTCTCCTTTACACCTGTGCAGTTGACCAGGCTTATAGTGAATCCATGTGTTTTGAATACATTTTTTTTTATTTGTATCTAATAAATTTGTATATACGTTGTGCGTACTTTTGATAATCTGTAAAATAGTTTAATCTTTGAATGGACTATCATAATTCCCAAGGTGGGCAATTCCGTTACACAATTTTTAGCAGTTTAAAGGTTAAATTACTTGCTACATTCAAGTTACTGATGTATGTTGCCCTTAACGTTTTATTTTGTCAGTAACCTTTAGAATCAAATAACAATGTGATATTAAATTGTAAAAATATAGAGGAATAAAACATATGTTTTGTTATGTGTGTACATCTTTCAAATTTTTATTGTAATGATAAGCTTTATTTTATATATATTATTTATGTTATTCATATTATAGCTCGATTATTCGAAGAATGTGGAGAGCTACATGTACTCACCACTCACCATGGCGTCTCCAGCACACCTTTGTTAAGTTATGTCCAAAACTACTGAAAGGAATGGGTTAAAACGTGTATATATACTTGACACTTCGCACACCTTTTCTCTGTAATAATAATGGACACTTATAACTCTTGATCTACTTTTTACACGGTTATCATTCTTTTCTTAATGAATAATCGAGCTCACTGTCTTACTGAAAACTCTTGTTTATAGAAATTCTTGTGATGAATGATTTTGTAATGTCTTGAATATGTAAAGAAAACAAATTACAAGAGGGCCATTATGGCCCTGAGGTCGCTCACCTGTATAGTGGCCCCCGCAGCGGGGCCAGTTTAAACCCTAGGGCTTTTATTTGAACAAACTTGGAAGACACCCATTAGAAGATGTTTCATGTTGTTTAGTTTTTACTACACACATATAATGAAAAACAATGACCTGCCCCCCCCCCCCCTCCAGCAGGGCCAATTTTAACCCAAGGGCTTTTATTTGAACAAACTTGGTAGACACCCATAAGAAGATGTTTCATGCTAAATATCTAAGCTCTAGCTCATTGGGTTTTTTAAAAGAAGATTTTTTATGTTTTTACTATACAAATATATCTAAAAACAATGACACCCCAAGGGCGGGGCCAGTTTTGACCCCAGGGCTTATATTTGAACAAACTTTGTAGACACTTACTAGAAGATGTTTCATGCTTAATATCTAAACTCTAGCTATTTGGGTTTTTTCAAAGAAGATTTTTAAGTTTTTGCTATACACATATAAGGAAAATCAATGACACCCGGGGCGGGGCCAATTTTGACCCCAGGGCTTTTATTTGAACAAACTTTGTAGACACTCACTAGAAGATGTTTCATGCTTAATATCTAAACTCTAGCTATTTGGGTTTTTTCATAGAAGATTTTTGAAGTTTTTGCTATACACATATAAGGAAAATCAATGACCCCCTGGGGCGGGGCCAATTTTGACCCCAGGGCATTTTTTTTAACAAACTTGGTAGACGCCCATTAGAACATGTTTCATGCTAAATATCTTAGCTCTAGCTCTTTGAGTTCTTTAAAAGAAGATTTTTTTAAGTTTTTACTAAATGCATAAAGGGAAAATCATTGACCCTCTGGGGCGGGGCCAATTTTGACCCCAGGACTTTTATTTGAACAAACTTGGTAGACACTCATTAGAAGATGTTTCATGCTTAATATCTTAGCTCTAGCTCTTTGGGTTCTTTAAAAGAAGATTTTTTAAGTTTTTACTATATGCATATAGGGAAAATCAATGACCCCCTGGGGCGGGGCCAATTTTGACCCCAGGGCTTTTATTTGTACAAACTTGGTAGACACTCACTAGAAGATGCTTCATGCCAAATATCTAAGCTCTAGCTCTTTGGGTTTTTTAAAAGAAGATATTTAAAGTTTTTTCTTTCGGTTGCCATGGCAAACAGAGTTCTGCATGGAATTAAATTCTTTGAACAATTTTTAAAGGTGACCACCAAAGGAACATTCCTGTGAAGTTTGGATTAAATTGGCTTAGTGCTTTATGAGGAGATGTCATTTAAAGTAAAAGTTTACGGACGGACCACGGACGGACGCCGGACGAAAAGCGATCACAAAAACTAAAAACACGTACTTTGAAGTACAATGTTTTCAAGGCACTTACAGTAATCGTTATATTGTTCAGATTTATAAATATTACAGAAAAATATGTATTATGTACTATGTGCCTTCTTACTGTCTATGTAACTATGTTGAAACATTTAAATGTACATTGTATAAATATATTGTACTATATATATTGTACTGACATGTGGATATTGCTATAATTGTTACTATTACACTGCCTTTTGTTTTTTTCAAATTCAATTAAATAATGTTGTGATTACATGGAGTTTTTTGTTGATAATTTTAATCATTATCAATTATTATAATCTGTAGTTGAAAACACTGACAAGTTTTCTTGGTTTTTTTATTAACCAGTAAATAATTTATGTGGATTAAGCACTTCTCACTATCACTTACATTAAGAAAAGATTCAGAGTGAATCTATAATAGCATTTTGAGGCAGTTTTTTATGGACTGATAAATCATTTGGTTGTTTTCATAATTGACATATAAATTGGCATTTTTGTACATGTATTTCTAAATGATATATCTTCTGTTATATTTAACTGTCAATAAAGAAATCCGACCAGAATGTACCAGAATCCAACAAACAGTACAATAGCTGGTCTATTTCAGTTCTTCTTCTGGCCAAATAGTGTTACTAGCCATAGCGTTATTAAATGAATGAAGATTACACATAAACATTATTTTAGCCTTTCACCTTGTAGGTTTAATGAATGTTATCAAATTGTTTAGTTCATGCAGAGACTTTTATTACAAATTTACATAATTAAGGCTCTGTGTTTTATAAAAACTCACAACAGAGTATTCAAACAGACTGTAAATTTTAGTTGACATTGATAAAGGAAATTAAGAGATATTCTTTTAAGCAATGATGGGCATATAACAGAGATAAATTGACATCCACATATATTTAACCCTTCACCTGCTGCAACTGAAACTTATCACCATTGGTACAGAGTAAGGCAAGTGCTGGCAAACTAAATTTTTTTTTTGTCTAAATAACCCCTAAGTTGATCATGGAAAATTCCAAAATTTGATATTCTGGGCAAGTCCATTACTTAAAATTTAGCTCAATAATGGGTAAAAATCCTTAAGATGCTAAGATGACTTAAATTTATTTTGAACATCTACCTTAAATGTTTTAATGTAAAGAGTACAGGCAGTATATATGTTACAACATTATAAGAGAAATCCTGATACAGGTAATCTAATCAATGCTAGTGACTCTTTTTTTATAGGTATTTTATAGTAAGTGTCAATCAATAAACAAACAAATTTCAAAATCTTCCATTGTTTTTAATAAAATTTGTATTATAAAATAACAATAAATACAAAGCACAACAACAACAACAACAAAAAAAAGTTTGGTGTTCATAATAGAACGATCACAAAAACATAAATATTTTTTTTAAAAGCTTTGTTTATCAACATAGTATAGCTCATATACTTATATCTTGAAGTACTGACCTTTGGGTAAGAAATGCATTATTCTTATTTTGTAGCATTGCCTACAAAAATACAGTGACCTCCTGTGCTGACTGTGAAATTTTATGTCATAAAAGTACCGAAATGTAAACAAAATGGTATTTTAAGTTCACAACACTATATTTGAACTTATTGCCAACAAGACAAACAGAAGTAAAAGATGGTTTTGGAAATTTGCCAATGAGTAACTTCTTGGAAACTAAAACATAACAACAAAATTGAAAAATCTCTAAGAAATTAAAAATAAAATCCCAGGGCATGATCAACCTATCAAAATAGCATTGCCATGATGACTGTAGCTTTGTAACCTGTAACTAAAAATGAAAACATAAATCAATCTGTCTATCAATGTTCAATTATGGACAAACTGCAAATCTCTTAATGTAATTAATACCAAAGTATGTGACATATTAATTTTACTGACAAGATCATTCTATCACACGAGGTCTTCAAATGTAACAGCACATATATACATAAATTCATAATTCTTTACCTATCCCATGCTATAATAGCAGCAATGTTTTCACAGAAAACAATTCAGCCAAACAGTAAAGTTACAAACAACATCTCTCAGTTTGCAACAAAATACAAGATTCATTATTTTCATATGTGAGCCAATCACTTTAGGTAATATGACATTCAGATACTTTAGAAAAATATTTTAGGTAATATAATAGTAAAATACTTTAGGTAATTTTTAGGTAATATAACAACAGTAAAATACTTTAGGTAAATATGTTAGGTAGTATAACAGCCAAGTACTTTAGGTAAATAGAACAGCACAAAAAACAACAATACTTTGTATGATAGAAAATTACATGACCCTTATATATTATTATATATGTTATTTTGGTTTTGGAGTGATATATGTGGATATATTACCTGCTAAGATTTTATATCACCCGAGCCATTAGGCGAGGGTGATATTTTATCTTGGCAGGTGATATATCCACATATATCACTCCAAAACCAAAATAATAATTTTATTACCCTTCCCCTGCCGAGTTAAGACATTTTTAAAATAAATAATTGCTACTTCAAATGAAACGTCGAAATAAGATTCCCTTTAGGGTACCCCTTCATCACTACATGACGTCACATAAATACACAACATATTTTCTTTCGAACCTAACGAATGTAAACAAGAGAAAAGGAGTAGTCTGTTGAACGCACTTTTTTTGGAATTAATAGCAAGCTTTCACAAGGTCATATTTGTTTTCAATACTGATGAGAATATGTATGATTACTCTATTTTAGTAAATATTTATCATTTGACAGTTAAAAAGTGCTTGTAAATCGGAATTTACATCGCGTGAAATCAAACCGTACGCGCATCGCCACACATGTTGTTTAGAATGTGGGGTACACAATGGAGAAATTTAATGTGTATATTACCCATCTGGCTAGGTAATATCAATTTCTTTCGGGTGATCAATATCCAATCAAAAAGGCGAAAAAAATCTGGAAGGGTAATAAAAATCCTTATACAACTCAATTAACTTGCCCCCCTCACCCTATCAATGTTATTTACCCTATCACAGATAAGTAATTGATAAAATATAAAAATCTGTATAAAATCTGTAATAAATGCTGTTGTATTAACATATAAAAAATTCAATAATTCTAAATCAAAGGCACCTTAATGTTATCATTAATCACATAGTTATAGTAGGGAATTTACACAAGAAGTTTAACAAGAATAAATATCAGATTTATAACTTCCTAGTAGAATAGTGTTGGTATTTACCCTTTTATATTAATGCCAATTAGTGATTTAATACTGTAACATATAATATCTAAATGATCCTCAATGTATTATCATCAAAATTGGTGCAACCTAAAATAAAATTTCATGTTTAACAATATTTCTATGCCCTAAAAAAATCGGATTTATCTAAAAACATAAAATTATAAAGTTATATGACTTGTTACAAGAATCTATTTAAAAAAAAACCCCAAAAAACAGACAAAATTTCAACATAAAACAGGTTAATTATGTAAACCAAAGAACAACAATTTGGTCAGATTCAGCAACCAGATCACTATATAGATAGTGTTAGAACCATACAAGATATTTGGTAGTCTGACAAGATTTAAACAGAAATCTAGTACAGACGCTATATATACATCCTGGACTCTCAAGGACCAGTGATATCTCTGAAACAGGAAATGCTATAGCTCAAAAATAGCTATAGTTAATATTATATAGCTCCAAAATTGTTATAGCTCCAGCTTCCAAAGATTATGTAAACTACTTTGTGATACTATCCAAGAGACATCTATATAGTCTAGCAGTAATAGCTATGAACTTACATGTAGGCATATACTCATACAAGTGACTATATATTTCATCTCTCATTGTCAATGGTCACTGTGATGATTCTATTTATAGTAACAGAATAAATCTCCTTTGAACTATGAGCACTTGAATGATCTCCCCTTCTTTAAACAGAATCACAAATCTGCTTGTAAAAAGTCTGTAATATGTCAAGAAATTTAACTGATGAGAGCAAAGTCTATTTAAATCCCTTCATTTAACAGTATTCTCGTAAAACCGTTTTTTTCTACAGTAATCACTGTGGGTCATAAATCTGATACATGTATCACACAAATCGTTGATAAACAAAGGGGCTGTACTCTAAGTTATATGATTTCTTTGTTCGCGGAGTGAGTTCAGGCACAGTGGGAACAATTTTGGCACCAAGTTTTGGAAATCTTTCAACTAATAATTGTTCTTCTAATGGAGAAGGTAAAGGTTTTGTCATCTTCTCCTTTGGCTTGTTCACCAGGACATATCGACTGAAATAAACAAGATTAAATTAACATATTTTATTTGTGAAACAAGAAAAACTTGTAAGTGCAAATTGTATTTTCAAAACAGAGGCATTTATTTTATTCTTAGGAAGTTACCTATGTTCAATAGGGAAGAATAAAATGTCAATGAAACTTGTCAGTTTGAAAATATAGTAGGTTACAGGAATGACAAAATACTAGAATTTAGTACCATAAAATGTTTTCATATTTCAATAATGTTCTAAAGAACATTGACGGCTGTATGGAAGTCTTCCATATTCACAAGTATTATTTATCAGTGTTTGATTTAAACAAGCTTATTTTAGTTTATTAGTTAATTTACATGAACTATATCTAAGTTAATTTCCTAAACAAACAAATACTGGTGTAATAAATGTATGTGGAAACATGGTTGTGATCCTGGTAGTCTGCTTACTGACAATTATAGGGTTAAGTGGCAAACAGCTAAACCATCAGGCCACCATTACTTTGAGGGAGTCCTCCATTGGAAACAACTACAAACAAATATTCAAATAAGACTTACTTGCACTTGCTAGGTATAGATCTACTAGATTTTGGTCTCCAGGCATCAGGATTTCTTGGATCTATCCAGTGAGGACTGAAGTCAGCTACAGTGGTTATTGACCTTGAACTTTCAGGCCGTGAAGAAGATTGTCCTTTCTTTTGCAGACGGAATCTGATAAATAATCATCATTAAAACAAAAATTAACAGGGATTCAATGAAACTTTATGTTTTATTATTAAAGGAAAACACATGAGACAGTCAGTGAAATTATAGCCATATCATTTGCTGTATATTCAACTTTTGATTTGTTGGCATAAAGCAAACAGAAATCTTAACCAATGTTTTGTGTGCATATAAATCATGTCTCACTTTGAAGTAAGAAATTTCATACCAAAATAGGCAAATAAATTCATCTACTTGTTTTATTGGCATAAAGCAAACAAAAACCTGAACATTTTTGTGTGTATGTGTGAATATAACATAAGCCTCACTTTGAAGTATAACACTTCATTTAAAGAACATGCTAATAAATTCAAAGTCAGTACTTACCTAAATGCTTTCTCATGACTAAGTTCATATTTTGTCATCTGCTGTTTCTCTAAGACAGGGTTTGCTGTTTTAGGTCTTTGTTTTTCCCTTGATGATGGTGGTGCGGACCCTAAACCATAGCTCATTGATATAGGCACAGACATTGATGTGTTTGCTCGCATTACAGATTGTATACTTGAATCTCTGTCTGTAAACCCCCCAACTGTAATGAAAAATAATAATAATTTGACCCGCGCCATGACAAAACCAACATAATGGGTTTGCGACCAGCATGGATCCAGACCAGCCTGCGCATCCGCGCAGTCTGATCAGGATCCATGCTGTTTGCTATCAGTTTCTCTACTTGTTATACGGTTTGTAAGCGAAAAGCATGGATCCTGATCAGACTGTGCAGCCATGCGCAGGCTGGTCTGGATCCATGCTGGCCGCAAACCCATTATGTTGGTTTTGTCATGGCGTGGCTCATTTCCAAATCTTTTCTTAAGCTTGAAAGTGCTACTTAAGAAATAATATATCCCAAACTGTGATTTTATCGTTCAATAACATCACTGTTTGGAGTTCGGATGCGAGGAATTATATCACGAGGGCGTAGCCCGAGTGATATAATGATGCGCATCCGAACGACAAACAGTGATGTTATCCAGCGATAAAATCACCGATTTGGATATATTATTTCGATTCTAACACGACATGAACAAATAAATGCTGCCGTACCTGCTATCAAGCAAAATTGCGCCTGATTTGTTTCCGTACTTATTGTCAGCGCGTCGGATTTTATAGTGGTTATGTCACATGTATAATGATTACGTCACATGTCTAAATATAGAACGTCAAACTGTGCATCTGTTGCATAATAACACACACTTTCGGTTCTTCTATGTTCAATAGGGAAAAATGCGGGTCGTGTTAGAATAAAGAATAGAACATATCACTACTTTTCTCTATATATAGTTTGTAAATAAAAAAAACTTAATTTCTATGGTCAATAGATGAAAGAGAGAAAAAAATTATCTAAATGAGAAAAGAATGCTTTTAGGTTTAAACATAATATTATCTCTGTTTTCAGTTATGATCATTGATTTGAGATTAATCAATTATTCTGATAATAAGATAATAACATACTAGCTGAATCACAGCGAGATGTGAACAGTTTGGCAGATGTTTTATCTTTCTGTATCACCTCCATGGCTTGTCTTCTCTGGGCAGCTGACTGGGCTCGAATCTCTTTTTGCATTCGTAACAATGTGTGTCTGAAACAGAACAATAATACCTCTCAAAAGTCCTCACTTCATCATAAAACATGAAAAGTCAGCTTACAGATAATATGACTTTGTTTTGGTTGTTTTGATACAGAATTCAACATATTTTTTATCATATCTTGGTGGTTGCTCAAACTGTCTAGCTTTCCTGGACAACTAACCAGTGATCATCAACTTCTTTGCAAGTAACTTTACTAATACCACACGATTTGTGAATCAGTAGTATGTGAAAGGCAAATGACCATTAGATTCAAAGTCCGAGATCAACTGTAATGGAGAAATTTCACCTCTCACGAGGAATGAGTCACCATTAGATTCAAAGTCCGAGATCAACTGTAATGGAGAAATTTCACCTCTCACGAGGAATGAGTCACCATTAGATTCAAAGTCCGAGATCAACTGTAATGGAGAAATTTCACCTCTCACGAGGAATGAGTCATCATTAGATTCAAAGTCCGAGATCAACTGTAATGGAGAAATTTCACCTCTCACAAGGAATGAGTCATCATTAGATTCAAAGTCCAAGATCAACTGTAATGGAGAAATTTCACCTCTCACGAGGAATGAGTCAGGAACCCCTTTATTTCATTAATTCTATGCTCTCCCTATTGAGCTTAGGCAAGCTGACAATATTGATAAGCCAGGTTTCTCATTTAACTAAACCTGTTTTGAAGTTTCTATCAAGCTAGCTTATGGAAGGTTAAAGTCTATCATAGAAATAATGCAAAGGAACATCTGCAGTCTATAACTGCACTTGAGTCTGAATGTCACTCAATACCCAATTAAAGACAATTTTCATGTAATTTTGTTGTGATTAATGCTTCCGAGGGATCACTTTGTTTCCAGATTGTTATAAAAGCGATGATAAACATTTGTGGAACAAACTTATCTCACCTTTCTATAACTCTTTCCTGCCAGTTGTCTTCAAATTTGGTGCCATCATTTTTATAAAGAGTATCAGCAGACACAAAAGCTGGTGTTCTGGAAAGAAAGTAAAGAATGTAAGGAAACAATGAAAGGAAACGAACAGACATGATAATTTATTATTATCGTTAGTTACCCATAAAATTCATTTAAAGTATGTTTGCTGAATTGGTAACCTTACAACATTGATACTCCAGAATAAAAAATCTAGGTTTTTCCCATCTTAACCCAGAGTACAAAGAGACTGTTACAGTTATAACTTGGTAAACATATTGATGATAAGCATAACAGTTGATTGCTGTATTGTGAGCCGTAGTGCACAGTGGAGCTGTAATGATCAAAGTTTGTTTGTACTCCAGGATAAGATAGCAAAAACATATATTTACCCAGTTCCGCATAGCTTATAATTACATCCATCTTTAAGTATCATATCGGCATTAAATTAATACTGCAGTCATGAACAAACATCACATTTAGACTTCTGTACTGATTAACCCACAACTAACAGATTACTTTACAATTACATGCAAAATAAGTAATTACATGCCAAATAAGTAAAGTTTGTATATAAGTAATTATCTAATCTCCTTATACAAGTGTCATATGATGAAAATTTTAAACCATACATGTATGTATATTCCCAATAAGTCAGTGATTAGTCTCAGAACATAAAGTGTATAACGATATATCAAATTAATCTCAAGTAATAAAATCTTTAAGAAAAACATTTTCACACTTCAAGGTGGAGACAATCCTTGTAAAGTAAATACAGTGGTATAATTAAAGGTAAACAAATGTAAACTCTGTACAATTACTGTATATATTCCAATACTAATGAAAAAGTTAATATGAGAAAGAATAATAGAAATATAAATAAAGTTTGAACAATTTTATAACCAGGAATTGTTACTGTAATCTATCGATATATTATATATATCACCATCTTTTATGTTTGAAATAATGACCAACTGAATGAGTAGTACATACATGTACTTTCAAAATATATGAAAAAAAGAATTTATACATAAAACCTTTTTTAAACTAAAAGTTTCCTAGATTCCATGCTAGTCATTTGACTAATCACACTGTATTAATTTTGTATATACATGTCAAGATTTCAACTTGAGTAATTTGAGAAATAAATTCATGATGATAGTCACAACAACCTGAGAACACATCTCTCCCTCTCTTGAGCAAACAATTTAATTTTAACATGGAAAAATATATTTTTCATTACAATAAACTATATATTCATACTTTAAACAAAAATTTTGTAAAAAACTACCCACAAAAACATGATTTTTTGTAACTCACAATGTAGATTAAGAATATTTGTCTAAAAAACTCATAAGAAAAACATACCCTGGAAGATTCTGATATTTCCTCAAAGCTTCTTCAAATGCTGATTGCAGATCCTGTAATAATCAAAATATTTGACCGTTATAACTTTATCAAACTCGCAAAAAATATATTCATATCCTTTTGTCTATATCCTGCTATACTTACAAATTTGCTATCTGATAAGAAGAAAAATGAATTAAGTCAATCTTTCAGTTTTCTATTGTACCGTTTTAACAATAGTAGAAAATCAATGTCATAGTCAATATTTGAATAATGTCCTGTCAGGAAAACATTGAAATTATTGGTTTTACAAAGTAAACAATTCACTTGTATTGGAGAGCTCCGGATAATACGTCCCATAAATTATACAATATTTCCTTTTTTATACCATATATTAGGTTTTTTACTGTTACTGTACATGTACAAATAAGCTCACCAGTCCTTATGTATTAAAAATTAAAATGTAATTTATATACCATAACATTACAGCTTAATTATTTCCATATACATTGTATGTGTATAAATAATATCTTTGATATGAAAGAATCCTTGGTTTTTGTATTGGTCTGTTGGATTGATGTTGGCTGTTAATATCAGATCTCTATCAGCGTGATGTTGGCCTCATACTAGCAGCCAACAACAGTCCAATATAATTAAATGTCCTCTCTTTTTTAACAGTTTATATCACACACTACATTGGGCTGATGTAGAATCCAACATCTGTTAAATGTTGGTCCTGCACAGAGAATGCTGGTTAGGGTGAATACTACTGAAATACTATATTAAAGTTATTTTTCTACTGAAAATATTCTTTTAAGTCAAGCATATTTAAATTTTTTTTATAAAAGAAGACAAATTTCAAGCTACTTATAAACTTCACTCATTTGCATAAATTTATGTTTATATTGTTAAAGATCTACAAAATATAATACTTACAAATAAGATTCAATTGTATTATTCTCTGTATATAATTTTACATTTAAAATAAATTAGAAAAAAAATGTTGGATTAATGACTAATTATTATGTAACAATTAATTGTTAATATTGACTATTATATATTCATTTAAAGTGCACATTCATTGTTCTATAATCCTAGGGGTAACCAAAATTATTAGTAATTATAATTGACATACTCTGGCCTATCTCGAGATCTGAATGAACATATTGTAATTATATGACAGGCAGTATGGCATGATCCTTATATTTTGATACCCTTTCTTATTTGGTTCCTGACTCCTTTCCTTAAATAAATCTGGTCCATTCGTTTTTTTATTTTTTTTTATTTTATATAACTGCCCTTTTCGCTAAAAGGTTATACTTAACATAATTATACAGACATAATTATGTGACATCTGAAAGCCAAATGATGTCATGAATTTTTTACTTTACTTAAATGTAGTCCAATATACTTTTATCAATTTTGTTTTAGTTTGTCTGTTAGAATGGAAATAGATAGATTGTATCAATTTTCTTTCCGTTGTTGGGAACAGTAATGCATGGTTAATTGTAATTAATTACTCTGTTATATTGGCCCTTATAATTATATTTCAATGCATTTGAACTCAAACCATGCATTATTCAACAAATAAGCTCTCAATATCTATTTTCTAAATCTTGCATGACAATCAGGTTCAATTATTCTTAAAATAGAAACTTAACACATGGCAATATGTCCTTTAGAATATAAATATATCTGTATAAATACGACAAGTTACAGTATTAAATCTTGTTAAAGTTAAATACTTTAGCAAGGCACATAAATGTCTTTTCAATACCTTAATCTGTTATGTAAAAGGTGTTTTTACGATAAAAAAATCTTACATAAATCCTTTATTAACATTTTAACTTTTAATTAAAACATTTAGATTATTTGTTGAAAAACAAAACCAAAAGGAAATAATTGAGTAATCTACAGATAAAAACTGAATTTTGATAGTGTATAAAAAATTTTCTTTTTTCCTATACTTGTTCATAAAACAATTACAATTACAATTTACCATGATCTCTGGGTTGAGAGGCAGACACCTTAACCACTAGGCCACCACTCCCCTTTTTAAAATAATTGGATTTACATATTAACATCCAACGTGCAAATGTTATCTGACAACATTCCATATAAAATAATTAAATCACTTTTCAATATCAAACCATTCTATAGCCTAAAGATAACAAGTCTAATAATGCTTAATCTTTATAACTAAAAAAAAAAATTACATTAATAATAACAAAGTTGTCAAATTCAATACATATTAAAATGGAAGAAGAAACTTACCTATTCTTTTCTTCCATTTATATGAAAAAATACTGGTATTGAAAAAACCCATGCAAATCACACATTTTAATCTCACAACAAACTTTGTATTATTTTAATTAAAATTTTCATGTATCTCTCTTATGTTAAAATTATCTTTGTGTCATAATACTAAATCTGTTTAAGCTGCACTTTGTTATTTAATAATAATTACATTATGTCTTATATATTTAAAGTATAATATATTAGTATAGACAATGCATAAACATTAAATAAGCCATGTGCCAAAAACGCAAGCATGAAAAAAACTAAGTCAATGTTAGCCATTGTTAGAAAACAGCATTACATGCCAAGTCATTTGTTTACATTAAGATCATTATTATATTGCAAATATGATTAACTATATTGTTCAAATACTAATTAACTGGTGTAAATAATATCAGGTACAAAATTTTACTTGTTTTTAAGTTTTGCATATGTTCTGTCAGTTTTAGTATAAGAATCCATATTGTAGTATTAATCTAAGGATGTTTAAACTTAGTTTCTTTACAAACTTGCTAGTGAAATAGCAGCTGTGTCTATTACTCTTTCTGCTTTTGAAAATGACCTCAGAGTTGAAACAAACATTCAGGGGCAGGTTTAAAGTCAAAAATTAGCATGGTAACCTCAAATCTTTTTTCCGTACATTTATTTCAAATACAATTTGTTAAATTATACAAACTGATGCAAAATTTTCAACACACTAGCTAAAAAATTTCTTCTTTGCAGCCTTCATGGTGTTACTTTATCTTTATATGTACAGAAAATGCATTTGATTTTCATCAATACAAAAGGCTTCCTCCTTCAAAGTGATATAATTAGATATACACCACTTGTACTAAACTAGCTCTTCAGTGACTATTTAAGTTTTTCTCATTACTCTTTCTATGGTATAATCAATATCTTCTTAAAACAAAATATCATCAATATAATAATGTAACAATATTTATAACTTACTATTAACTATAAACAATTATTTCAGCATAACTGATTTTATCAACATACCTGAAAAATATCCATTTTTTTCTCATTTTCTGAACACAGAAATATTAAGACATTTCAATTGATAAAGGAAAGATAAAAAGCTTGCTCAAAACTTAAAGTTAAGATATTAAAACCTGATTTTTTTTTCTCCATTGTAAAATATAGGATTACTTAATTACTGCCAGGCTACTGTACATTTGTTAAGAGGATATTATTTGAATAATTCTCTTCTAATAGATAAACAGACAATTATGATAATTTATTTCACTTTCTTCTATTATTCTTATCTAAATATGGGTACTTGTGATAATGATTTTACAAACTTCACATGAGACGTTCTCTCAATGACAATATTCCACTTTTTTGTGCACTGACAAAAGATAAAACATTTATAATTGCATGACATAAACCTGATATCCTAGCATTTATAAAGATGGTATTTTTACATTATCATTATGAGCATGGTATTTTTACATCATCATTATAGCATGGTATTTTTACCTCATCATTATAGCATGGTATTTTTACATTATAGCAAGGTTTTTTTTTAACATCATCATTACAGCATGGTATTTTTACATCATCATTATAGCATGGTATTTTTACATCATCGTTATGGCATGGTATTTTTACATCATCATTAAAGCAAGGTTTTTTTACATCATCATTACAGCATGATATTGTTACATCATCATTATAGCATGGTATTTTTACATTATCATTATAGCAAGGTATTTTTACATCATCATTATAGCATGGTATTTTTGCATCATCATTATGGCATGGTATTTTTACATCATGATTATAGCAAGGTATTTTTACATCATGATCATAGCAAGGTATTTTTACATCATCATTATAGCATGGTATTTTTACATCATCATTATAGCATGGTATTTTTACATCATCATTATAGCATGGTATTTTTATATCATCATTATAGCATGGTATTTTATATCATCATTATAGCATGGTATTTTACATCATCATTATAGCATGGTATTTTTATATCATCATTATAGCATGGTATTTTTACATCATCATTATAGCATGGTATTTTTACATCATCATTATAGCATGGTATTTTTACATCATCATTATAGCAAGGTATTTTTACATCATCATTATAGCATGGTATTTTTACATCATCATTATAGCATGGTATTTTTACATCATCATTATAGCAAGGTATTTTTACATCATCATTATAGCATGGTATTTTTACATCATCATTATAGCATGGTATTTTTACATCATCATTATAGCATGGTATTTTTACATTATCATTATAGCATGGTATTTTTACATTATCATTATAGCATGGTATTTTTACATCATCATTATAGCATGGTATTTTTACATCATCATTATAGCAAGGTATTTTTACATCATCATTATAGCATGGTATTTTTACATCATCATTACAGCATGGTATTTTACATCATCATCATAGCATGGTATTTTTACATCATCATTATAGCATGGTATTTTTTACATTATCATAATAGCATGGTATTTTTACATCATTATAGAAACATATTTTTTACATCATTATACCATGGTATTTTACTTCATTATAGCATGGTATATTTTTAAATCATTATAGTATGGTATTTTTACATCATTATAGCATGGCATTTTCAAACAGGGTATTTTTGACATCTTTATATCATGGTTTTTATTTTTACATCATAATACAATAGTATTTTTACATCATTATAGCATGGCATTTTACATCATTATAGTATGGTATTTTTACATCATTATAGCGGGGCATTTTTACATAATTTTAGAATGGTAATTTACAGCATGAAATTTCAAGGGTTCGTTCTCAATTGCTTTAATTAGCAAAAAAAAAAGTTCTTCTGGAACTATAGACTGGAGTATATACAAATGTACAGTCAATGTTTGGAACTGACAGCTGTTAATCTGTTAAAATACGTGTATGTAACTAAAAATGTATCAAAATTGCTATGTTGAAAACTATGCATTTAATTAATAATCATACTGAAAATAACTAAATTTGTCAGATTATATAAAATTAATTAACAAAATTTTTATAAACCGAAATAATTATTTATATAAAGTATTAATGACATAATAATGTCATAACATATAAGATAAAATTGGGTTAATTCATTTCATGAAAAAACATTTTTGCTTTAAGTCAAGATAAAATCACATCATCAAATTTCATCACATAATCATCAAACTTACAGACCAGTATAAATAAGTCCTAAGTTCAGTGGTGTGAAAAAAAAATTCATTTCTTTTTAATAAACAATAACACAATTGTAAAAGTTGTAATTTTCTAAATTGGTATGCCACACCAATGCTGGTCATATGGTGAGTGACTTACCAAGTTAATTGGTAGCAAAACTAAAAATACATGTTTGTAATTTGAACCAGACTTAAATGGACACTTGAGTAAAACAAAATATTCTATATACTAGAAACTTCCTTACAAGAATGATTTTCTCCTGATTTCAGGAAAATAAGTAGCATATTGCATTGAACAAGATATTTGTAGCTGAATTTATACAAGGGTGTTATAACCAGAGTGCCATTGTAATGGCAATCCTGATGGTATAACAATAGTTTCAAAATGAATTGTGCATATTTATTGATGCACTACACATATAATATACCAGTCAATTATAACCCCAGCACCAAACCCCAAGGGTAGTGCGGCTAATAATTTTTACCATTCATCTTTCCTCACACTGAAGGGTCAATATTTTGTGAGGGAATAAGTCCAACTTGCTTAGCGCAAAGGCATTGTCAGGGACTATATATACAATCTGGTTCCTACTGGACTTTAAACAGGAGATTATATTTCAAATTAAGTCTAGGTCCCCCATTATAATCCCCTATGGGGTAGGAGTTTTCCAGGGTTACAATTGCGTGGGACATTAAGAACTAGGATATATTTTGTACTGGCCTGAATATATCAGCATCAATTCACATACACATATAAACATATAGACATATTTTATATACAAGCAAGCAAATTCTGTACAAACTGCCCAACATCATCAGTGTGCCATCTTATTTTTTTCTTAAATTAACTTGAACATGCATTTCTTGTTATTTATATAGAATATCAACAAACATTTTGAGATAAACTTTCATGCACATGTACTATTATAATAAGTAGACTACAAAAGAAGTATATAAATATAACTAATGCAAATTATGTGGCATATGCTAAAAATATCATGCGTGATAGAAATTTCACTTACATTTGTGTTTTTTGTGTATTCAAAAAAATTATTTTCACTGTTAAAATCCATACTTTTATGTTCTAAATATAATTTTCAGTTCCTTATCTGAGTATGAAGTCAGCATAAGCCGAAAAAGAAAAAGAAAGACTGAAATATAAAGTAAATATGAAATATAAGAACATGATGTTGAGCAGTATACACAGACAAACATACAGACAGACAACTTACTTCAAGCTGGTCTGGGAGTTCAACTATAAACTCCAACTAGGAGAAACAACATTTTAATATAACAATATATCTATCTAATATTGACAACCCTTTTTTTTCCCTTATACTGAATATGAATTTGAAAAGTGAACCTTATTAAAGTCATTTGACTGAAGTAAAATAGACTTTTCTTAATAAAACTGTCTTATATTGTTTAGAATGTAAGTTATTATTCTGCCATCACTAAGTTATTGCATATTTTTCCCTGAAATGTTAAGTTTACAAAGGTAAAATTGCCACTGCTATCAGAAGATATTTTGCTGTGAAAGTTTAATTTTTTGCCTCGGCAAATGGATATCTGATACAGCCTGATCTTTTTTACTAGAAATTCAATAACTTTCAATGCAACAAAACTCTCTACTCTCCTTCCATCTGTTTCTCTCATTTCATCTATTACTTCAACATTTTCTGTTTAAAATTTTACATTATCTTTGAATTATCTTTGAAGTTATAAATGAGTCACATCATGCAATTAAATTTATTTTCACTGTTATTTAGAGCTAATGAATCATTATTATTAAAATTAATTTGCTATAAAATTCAAATAAATTTCAAGACAGAGGTTTAATCCAGTACTTATTTAAATACAACATTTCAGATAAAATAATTTAACTACGCAAAGTAAAAATAAAACAATGCTTATCAATGCAATTTGTATAACAGTAAAACATATAATTTGAATACAAAACTGAAACTGTGAAAATGATGAATTTTGTTTAAACAAGTGTTCTGGATCAGAACCCAAATATGTCCTTAAGAAAAACAAGGTTTTGAGTCTAATAATCTATGTACTTGATAAATGCCTGTTACATTGGAACTTCCAGTACTTGTTACCAAAATACATTTACATTTCATTTAAAAAAGAAAAATATTACCACATATAGGTCATAATATTTAGTCATTGTAATTTACTCAATGTTAGTAAGTTTATCTAAGTAATTTGTTTCTTCTAAGACATTTGGGTTGCCCAGTTAAATTCATGCAATAACATGTATTACCTTACAGTGCCACCAAGGTGATGATGACCTATAACTAAACTGCTGAAAATGATTATAAAATTGAACTGATTTGTAACTTTTATATGTACTGTTTACAAAAAGTAGGTGATATTTTGTTGTTAAATTCATATGAATGAAAATGCTTGCAAAATAAAAGCAGTTGTTCTATTGGTAAAGGGTAGGGTCAATTACAGTATGGGGTTGCATCACTGTATGACTACCAGAACACAGCTACCTGTGAGCCTGGTCAGTACTACTATAAAAACATGTAGGTTCTGTCTGCATGTTATATTGTTTGCTCATCATCATGGCCAAGAAGTTATCTTCCAGGATAATAATGCTTTGGTCCACAGGACAAGACTTTTCACTGAATGTAAGAGTAAATTACTTTTACCATGGTTAGTTATGAGCTTGAACTTATCAACTATTGTACACTTGTATGAGACATTCTAGAAAATTTGTCTTGCCATCCACAGCATGGTGCAGCAATGCAAGAAGAGTAAGACAGAACCCCTCGGGACAGCATTCCAACCGCTACCTTATAGGGTGTATAAGACATCATTGCATAGCTAATGTTGTTACATCAGGGGTAGTCATGAAGAAGTTGCTTTTTTTTATTAAAAAGTGTGAATAAATTTGATTGATTAAATAAATATCAACAAGAGCACCGCTAGGCGGAGCATTATATGCCCGAAAGTGTTTTTTTATATTAAGGATGAAGCATTTGTAAGACATTACATAACTTAAATAAAGTATTACCTCCTTCCAATAGCAATCTTCCTATAAACTTTGAATATTGTGGGCCAAATAGAAATTAAGTTATGCTCCAGAAACTGTTTTCAGTTTTAAGTAATAGTGACCATGACCTTTGACCTTGTGACCCCGAAATCAATAGGGGTCTCCTACCCAAATTGGACAATCATCCTATGAAGTTTGAATATTGTGGGCCAAATAGACCTTAAGTTATGCTCCGGAAACTGTTTTCAGTTTTAAAGAAATAGTGACCTTGACCTTTGACCGTGTGACCACAAAATCAATAGGGGTCTCCTACCCAATATGGACAATCATCCTATGAAGTTTGAATATTGTGGGCCAAATGGAAATTAAGTTATGCTCCGGAAACTGTTTTCAGTTTTAACGTAATAGTGACCTTGACCTTTGACCTTGTGACCCCAAAATCAATAGGGGTCTCCTACCCAACATGGACATTCATCCTATGAAATTTGAACACTGTGGGCCAAATGGAACTTAATTAAGTCATGCTCCGGAAACTGTTTTCAGTTTTAAGGTGATAGTGACCTTGACCTTTGACCTTGTGACCCCAAAATCAATAGGGGTCTTCTACCCAATATGGACAATCATCCTATGAAGTTTGAATGTTGTGGACCAAATGAAACTTAAGTTATGCTCCGGAAACTGTTTTCAGTTTGGACGGACGCCAGGGGGTATAACATAATATGCCTCAAAATTTTTCGGGCATATAAAAAGTGAGAGTCTTCTTTATTATAAGCAAGTACAATAATATCCCCTACTTTTTGTGAACAGTATAATTATATAAACAAAAAGAACTTTAAGACATAACAAGAGCTGTCAGTAGGACAGCAACGCTCGACTATTCTTAGTGCTTGATAATAAAAAAAATGCTTGATACAGTTACCACCTCCTGTTTACAGGTTGGGGTCATGATGTTGAACAAGTGTGCAAAGTTTCAAAGCCATATGTCAATGGACTTTGAAAATATTTGAACTATTACAAAAACTTTAACGTAAATTCTAAGTCAAAAAAGGGGCATAATTCTGTCAAAATGCTTGATAGAGTTACCTTCTCCTGTCTACAGGTTGGGGTCATGATGGCAAACAAGTGTGCAAAGTTTCAAAGCCATATGTCAATGGACTTTGAAAATATTTGAACTATTACAAAAACTTTAACATAAGTGGTTACGCCGACGCCGACGCTCGGGTGACTACAATAGCTCTACTTATTCTTATCGAATAGTCGAGCTAAAAAATATGTTGTTTTTTTTTCACCTAAAAGATATATAATTTAGTTCTTTTTTCTTATGGTACCTGAAGAGATACTATAACAAGCTTATACACCACATTTCGTTTAGTACTGACCTTCATAGCCTCTGCCTGTTGATACATGTCCATGTCATACTTATACTCATTATCAGTGGCTGGTAAATCACCATACATACAATAATGATCATATGCTAAGTTGGCTTCCATTTTGAATCAGTTATCCTAATTTTCACTAAATCTTGTGTTTTAATTTCAAAATATCAATAATGGTTTTCTCCTTCAAGTGTGAATATTTTTCATCAAATTGTGACCAGCACTTCCATTAAATCCGAACAAAATAAAAAACAACAAATATTCACGATATATATATATTGTAAAAAAAAAAGAGCGTTGAATGTGTGTTAAGATAAAATTTAAGAAATGCAATTGGTGAAATCGAAAATCAAGAGTACTGTGAACTTTGATATGATTCTTTAAATCATTCAACTGAACAAATTTAATTATTCAGCACCACTGACAATGTTTCATATTCCTAGTTTTCCTTATCTTCAGTGGGAAACACAAGTGTATAACTCATGTGATCACAGTGTTTGGTTAAATTCTCACAAAACATAAAGAACCAGGTGCGCAAAGTGATTGTTTTCTATTCAAGGCAACTTACAAAATTCTTAAACAGCGGATCCATTTATTTTGTTGGAAATCAAACTATTACATCCTTTTTTTCAAATTATTGAAAAATAACACCCAGAACATATCAATAAGCAGAGTTCCCATAACACAGTATATTCCTTTTTTAGCGCTTTGATGAAGTTTGTATTACAATTTATGATAAAATATTAGTTCCACTTAAATCCTTATACTATAATGTTGAAACACGTTTTTTTTCTATTCAGAATAAAATGGTAAAGTACTTTTTGTGTGAAAGTGCCCTGGTCTGTCAAGTACTTTATCCGAAAGTAAAATATTTTTCAAGAGTATAAGTCAAATACAAAAATGGCAGTGCAGTCCAACTTTTGACAAAAGTATACAAAACAAAATATTCCTACAAATCACTTAATCTAGCCTTGTACATTAGGATTAAAGTCTTTTATAAAGTTAAGACCTTGGACACAAAATTACATTAAATTTTCACAAATCACCTATTATCAAAATCTCAGGGATAAATCTGACTTTACAATCACAGCTTAAAACCCTGATACAAAAGCTACCATGTAAGAACTGGCCTTCTGTGAAAATCACTTTTTGATAATGGTCTCTTTGAACTAAGATAGTCAGGTGTGTAAATGAAATAATTAAATTCTAAATTCTGAAGGTCATTTAACACTTAGGTAATAAAAAGACACCTGAAATTAAAGTACATGTATATTACAGTTTCAAAAAGATATTCATTTAATGATACTTAAGTTACTTTTTAGATATAAAAGAATTTTTCGATCATTATATTGATATTAAATGATTTCCACTACCATTATTAAACATCAAAAACCATAATTATGATCTTATCAACTTAACTGCACCTTAATTCCCCATTTATCAAACAAACATTACATTTTGTGAAACTCTTTGAACAATTTTCTATTCAAAACACCCTTACACTATATCTCTCCAAAATTTAAAGATGAACTATTGAAGCCTTTCAGAAATAACTTCTTTTTATCATAGATATTCCCTCGCTTAACCAAAAAAAAAGCATTAAATAAACAAATATTATTGACATAAATTTTTGATGCCATTATAAAAAAAAATATTTTCTAGTAAATAGAATAAAAGGTGGTATCGAAATGGTAGTATGTTGTTTTATTTTTATGTTTTTTTTAATTGTGTCATTAATGAACTTGCTGTATCTTAATTGGGAGCATGTGTGACAGAAAGGTAACTGACTTCAAATCATTTGTCCCGACAAATACCAGCAACACTGAATCCTTCAGTAATGTAAAAGAAATTCAGCTAAACTAATAATAGGTGGTTCTAATTCACTGCACTTTTTTGGGTTTAAAACAATGCTGCAATGGTAAAAGAGGTCTTAATCTTAAACAAACATCATTATTCTTTCTTTTATAGTTTTGGTTTATCAGATAATGGAACCTGACACTGGAAAGTCACTCTGAACATTATTTAAAGCACAAAAAGAAGCTAACCTCACCAAAATATGTGAATAACTTCCTTATGTTTAAACAAATTCCCCCCTAAAGAAGTCCAACATGCAGCTGAGAGGGGAAAGTGATTTTCAATTAGCTACCTTACTAAAATATGTGTGAAATAGCATCAACAAAAGTTATGAGTTTATTTTTCTTGTGTTTTTTATTCAGATTGTTTGTATATTATGAATTTAACAACCAAGCATCTGAGAAAAACAGTCATGAGTGGATAAAAATGCTGTGCGACTGTAAGAAAAAAAGAAAGTGAAACTACAGGGTGGGTTCAAATCTTTATAGCATATGATAATAGAAAAGGTAAACTAAAGGGATGGGATCACACACTAATCTACTATATGTATATAAGTGACCTACCTCGGCCTTGAACCTTACATGAGCTGTGTGTGGCCTTTCTGATTGAAGTCGCTCACCTGAAAAAACATGTAGTTAGTTTAATGGAATTTTATAATACTGCAAACTTTCTTTTATTTGAGAAAAGAATAAAACTTTCTTAAGTCACCATGGTAAATGCTAGAATCAATTTTCACCATGCAATAAGATCACCCTCTGAACTATTAACAGAATTATAAACTTTATAACATTCTGATATCTGATATTGAATTTTCCTACACTGACAATGGACATAAAGAAAGCAACAGATGACACTAGTTTATTACTTAAATTTACAATATAACAAGAGCTGTCGGAAGGACAGCATGCTCGACTATTCTAAGTGCTTGATAGTAAAAGAGCCTTGATAATGTTAAATTTTTTAAGTTCACTAAAGGGCCAATTTTTTTTTATAAATTCATGTTATAGGCCAATTATACAGTATTGGCTTGACTAAGGTAATGTCACAAGGGTGTTTTTAATACTAATAACCTATGAATACATAAATTTGACAGAAAAGGTACAAAGGCTTGTTATTAAGATGTTTTATCAAGTAAATCACTGCTTTATTATTATGAATGCATAAAATTGTCCCAAAAAAGGCACAAACCCTTCAGTAGTTATTGAGATAACAGCGTACAAGCAAAACTTTACCATGACTTTCTAAGTTGAAAAAGGGGAGAAAAATCAGCCTAAATGCAAGATAGAATTATGGATCTTTGTCAGTGACCTACAATTATGACCCTAAATGCATATGTGAAGTTTTAAATAAATATCTTTAATAGTTATTGAGATATGTAAAACTTGCATGTAAACATTAACCAAGAGACTTAGTAGAAAAGGGAATATGAATCAGCCTTAATGCAAGATAGAGTTATGGAACTTGGTCAGTGACATACAATTATGACCCTCCAATTATGACCCTAAGTGCATGTGTAAAGTTTCAAGTAAATATCTTTGAAGACCTTTAACCTTTAACCAAAATTTCTAACTTTCAAAGGGGCAAATAATTCTGCAAATATTGCAGGCAGAGTTATGCAATTTTGCAAACTGATGTCCATTGTTACTATAAAAAAGTATTTTAAATTTCAATTGAATATCTCAAGCAATAATTGAGATATTTGACTTTATAAAAAAACTTTAACCAAAATTTCTAAGTTAAAAAGGGGCATAATTCTGTCAATATTGTAGGCAGAGTTATCCAACTTGTCAATCTGATGTACCTTGTTACTATAAATAAGTATTGTAAGTTTCAATTGAATATCTCAAGCAATAATTGAGATATTTGACTTTACAAAAAACTTTAACCAAAATTTCTAAGTTAAAAAGGGGCATAATTCTGTCAATATTGTAGGCAGAGTTATCCAACTTGTCAATCTGATGTACCTTGTTACTATAAATAAGTATTGTAAGTTTCAATTGAATATCTCAAGCAATAATTGAGATATTTGACTTTACAAAAAACTTTAACCAAAATTTCTAAGTTAAAAAGGGGCATAATTCTGTCAATATTGTAGGCAGAGTTATCCAACTTGTCAATCTGATGTACCTTGTTACTATCAATAAGTATTGTAAGTTTCAATTGAATATCTCAAGTAATAATTGAGATATTTGACTTTACAAAAAACTTTAACCAACGCAGACGCCGACGCGGACGCTGACGCCGACGCCGGGGCGACTACAATAGCTCTCATATTCTTCGAATAGTCGAGCTAAAAATGTTATTTCTGTTAACCAAACTTAGTAGCTGCTTGTCAAATTATATTTTGTCCAAGGTAAAAATTACATATAAGGGAGACAACTGAAACAAGAAAAGAACTGTTGGTATCAGGAAGAAATTATTCTCTCCCTTTGTTTTCAAACTTATTTTTTCCTGGTCTATGTCATGGCAATAATTTTCAGGAAAATGTAAGTAAGTGAGATAATCCAATCAAAGGTACTACTACATGTATATAAAATGCTACTGTCCACTTGGTTAGCTCAATAGGGAGAGCAATGGATTTGTAATGCAGAGGTTGCTGGTTTGACCCTCAGAAAAGGTGAAATATCTCTGTGACAAATGATTTTGGACATTCAGTCTTATGGTCATTTGTTGTTCACTGCTGATTAGAAATCATGTTGGATTAGTAGTCAAACACTTGCAGAAGAATTGGTCTAATTTAATTGTAAGCATGTAATAAGCCAGGAACTGACTGCTAAGATATGAACAAAAATCTGTTAAAAATGTGTTAAATCAGCATAAAAATACACAGATCAACCTACAAATAATTCATACTGAAATAAATTTATACCCTGTGCATAATTTTTTCACATTTTGAGAGCTTGTTAAGAATCTACGACATCAGTACAGAGCTACACCTACATTGTATTGTTTGATTTTATTAACCTGTCAAATGCATACTAATTATACCTTCAATGCACACAATATTTTAATCTTCCATAGATTTTCAGTAAATTTTGTGAGGTGTACAGCAGTAAGATGTGATTTAATTCAATTTGTTTCTAGGAAATAGTTATACTGACCATTATAGCACAATAGAGTAAACAACAGGTTTATAACATGGATTGTAGAATCGGGAGCGTGCATGTTCATTTCTTTTTACTTATTTATAACTATTTTCAACATTATTGAAGCTATGATTAGTTTTTTTATGTTGTTCTTTTTGGTTTTTATTTGTTTGGGTCATCAGACCAAACAAATAATGGTAGCAAAATTTCAGGCTCTAATGCTGTTAATTGCAATTGCCGAAAGTAGTCTGCTTTTTTGAAGTGGTTACTTCCCTTTATATGTACACTAACGCTGAAAAATTCAGGGGAGATCACTGCGTAAAGATGGTCAAATGACAGGCACATTAATTTTCAAGCAAAATAATTCCCGAATGGTCGAAAGATTTCTAATATTGTTTTATTCTTTATAGATATACATGCTTATAGTAAGCTCAATGATTATTTACATCTGTGTTAAACAACAGTAAGCGTCGTTACAAACCCTTATTTAAAATAATATGGTTTTCTTCAGGCCGGTAAGATATAAATTCACCGTGGCCGAGGGGTTTGTGCGCTCGCTTAGGAAGCGAGAGGTCTGGAGTTCAAATACCAGTTAAGGCAACTTTTTTTTTTCAAATTGTTTAAGTCAAATAAACATTGATTGAATATCAGTGTTGCAATTAGTCTTATAGCCAATTTACTACAATTAAAACGCTGGAAAGCATTGGTGGCACTATACAAAAACAAATTGATTTATAATCTCATAACCTTCACCTTTCTGACATTCTGAGACCCAAACAAATTCAGCACCTTCTGTGCTTTGATTTAATATGCTCTGCACTTATTTTAGTAAAATCTTTACTCTTTCTAAATAAAAAACTTGGTTTAAGAGTTAATGTTTTAAATACATTCAGATTAAAATCAATAAATGTCAACTCAGTGCCGTAAAATACAATAAAAAACAAGACAAATCAGTGTTTCTTTATTATGTTGTTTCATATCCATGTAGACAATTTTACATACCATTTTCATTAACATATACTTCAAATATAAAAGCAGAATAGGTCTGAAATGAATGATTAAAGTAAGAGATCAAACCATAGACCTCTTGATATATTAGGTAATCACTTATTTACCGACTGTGCCATTACGGATGTGACGAGAACCAATACATTTAGCTGGTATGACTTTTCCAAACATTCAGGTGATACACTTGATAGCCATTCTCATAAACTATTCGGACAGAACCCAAGTGGGATAGAATATTCAAATGAGTGCTATAATGTATTTATAATTGACAGTACAATAAAATCAGACTATACAAGTCTGCAGCTCAGTTTTAGTATGTTTGTTTTGAGATCATTTACAGAATATTTAAACAAGATGAGTGAGTAAACAGTAAAGATAATCATACATGATTACCTTCTAACTGGCCTCTCCTCAGACCCGTGAAAGATGATGCAGGCCTTCTGACAGCATTGGCTTTATCTTCCTCCGACAGTAAAGAGTTATAAGGGGCAATTAACTCCTTTTCAAATGTGTCTTCATTTTGTGTTTTATCATCTGCCAGTTTGACATGAGGAGTTTGTGGGGTCTGTCTGCCTAGTGTTGATACAGTATCATCTATACCAGAGTCAGGGGTGCCCCGCCCTGAAATACAAATATCATATACATTATTATGTATTTTACAAGTTTTATATAATAATAATCAAATGAGTGAGCTATCTTTATCTAAAATAAAAGGCACATATTTCAAAATATTTTTCATTAATGCAAATATGATGCAAATGAATATGAGAATGAAAGGAATTTATCAAGAAATTTTGTGAAATTCATTAAATTGTATAAGAAATATGAGACAAAAATATAAAATTTGTTCAGAAAAAAAAGATATTTAAATATACCCATGTCTAAGTTTATGACTATACTAAAAGTTGCATATGCAGGTTATAGGCCATACAACCTGAGTAGATTATTATAATACTGGTGGCATAGGTTTGTCAAAATAAAGGCGTCAAACATAAAATGAGCCGCGCCATGACAAAACCAACATAATGGGTTTGCGACCAGCATGGATCCAGACCAGCCTGTGCATCCGCGCCGTCTGAATAGGATCCATGCTGTTCGCTATCGGTTTCTCTACTATAGTTTTTAAGTGAGCAGCATGGATCCTGATCAGACTGCGCGGATGCATGCTGGTCGCAAACCCATTATGTTGGTTTTGTCATGACGTGGCTCATTAATGATAAAACAAGGTACCTAACTGATGTATTGATGCCTCTATGTATGAGTAAACTAAACCATAATTCATAAAACAAAAAAATTAAACACTTTTCTATTTCTAAATAAGAAATTGATGAATTATTTTCCTTTAGTAAGCACAAAATCTAAAAATTTCATTTAGTGTATTTATATAAGCACATGTACAGTTCAAATGGAAAATATATGAAACACACAAACTTAGCAGATGTTAAGATTTTGAGAGCATTAATCACAACAAGAGGGCCATTATGGCCCTAGATCGCTCACCTGACCCATCAAACTCATCCAAACAATTACCTAGACAAGCATTCCGACCAAATCTCATGACAGGTGAGTCAAAAATGTGACCACTACAGTGTTAACAAGGATTATCCATATTTGAGCAGTGTGACCTAGTTTTTTACCCAGGTGACCCATATTCAAATTTGACCTAGAAATCATCAAAACAAACTTTCAGACCAATTTCCAGGATACTTGGATCAAAACAGTAGCAACTAGTTTGTTAAGAAGATTTTTCTATTTTTAGCTCCGGTGACCTAGTTTCACATGCTATTTTGAACACATCAGAGCAATTACCTAGACAAACATCCTGACCAAGTTTGATGATAATTGAGTCAAAATTGTGACCGCTAGAGTGTTAACAAGGTTTTTCTATTTTTAGCTCCGGTGACCTAGTTTTTCATCCGAGATGAGCCGTGTTCGAACTCATCCGAGCTATTACCTAGACAAGCATCCTGACCAAGTTTGATGATGATTGAGACAAAAATGTGACCGCTAGAGTGTTAACATGGTTTTTCTATTTTTAGCTCTTGTGACCTAGTTCTTCATCCGAGATGACCCATGTTCAAACTCATCCAAGCTATCACCTAGACAAGCATCCTGACCAAGTTTGATGATGATTGAGGCAAAAATGCGACCGCTGGAGTGTTAACAAGGTTTTTCTATTTTTAGCTCCGGTGACCTAGTTTTTCATCCCAGATGACCCATATTTGAACTCATCCGAGCTATAACCTAGACAAGCATCTTGACCAAGTTTGATGATGATTCATGCAAAAATGTGACCGCTAGAGTGTTAACAAGGTTTTTCTATTTTAAACTCCGGTGACCTACTTTTTCATCCGAGATGAGCCATGTTCGAACTCATCCGAGCTATCACCTAGACAAACATCCTGACCAAGTTTGATGATGATTGAGGCAAAATTGTGACCTCTAGAGTGTTAACAAGGTTTTTCTATTTTTTCATCTGAGATGACCATGTTCGAACTCATCCGAGCTATCAACTAGATAAGCATCCTGACCAAGTTTGATGATGATTGAGACAAAAATGTGACCGCTGGAGTGTTAACAAGGTTTTTCTATTTTTAGCTCCGGTGACCTACTTTTTCATCCGAGATGACCCATGTTCGAACTCATCCGAGCTATCACCTAGACAAGCATCCTGACCAAAAATGTGACCTCTAGAGTGTTAACAAGGTTTTTCTATTTTTAGCTCTTGTGACCTAGTTTTTCATCTGAGATGACCCATGTTCGAACTCATTCGAGCTATCAACTAGATAAGCATCCTGACCAAGTTTGATGATGATTGAGGCAAAAATGCGACCGCTAGAGTGTTAACAACTAAATGTGAACGGACGACAGACAATCATCGATCCTAAAAGCTCACCCTGAGCATGCTCAGGTGAGCTGAAAAGGTGACTTGATACCTGCTGGATTATATACTCAAAGAATTTTTTTATGACAAAAACTTTGGTACTTTTACCTACAAATACAATTAAACATACAATTTAAACATTTTTAAATTAACAGCTCCTTGTTAACTCCTAACAATTAAACAAAAATATTTTTATTATTTAGCATTTAAATTCTTGAACAAGTACTTATTTTCAAACTGTGGTGTAAAATTTACTTATAACTTAATCGATAAAGATCATACATTATTACAATGCGAATGTTCTCAGGTCTAATATTACATTTCCCTTAAATACTTGCAGCTCAAATTAATGTATTTTCAACAATAAAGAACAACTGTAATCCATATTGGTTGTATTTCAATTGAAAGAACTGGCTGACTGGTTGACAATAATGTCAATAGCTGTGCATGTTCTCACATCATAATCTTGTACATGCAATAAAATGTGCATTTCAATACAGCTTGACTAGGAAAAAATTATGAAAAAGTCTTTTAAAGAGTTCACTGCAAAGAACATTGGAATATGGATGTTTGTCTTGAAAGAGATAAGAAAGCAACATATTTCAAATAAAGTTTTCAAAATTTTAACCTGTAATTAAGAAAAACATGAAAAAGTCTTTGAAAGTGTTCACTCCAAAGAACATTGGATGTTTTTGTTTGAAAGAAATAAGCAAAAAATATATTTCAAATAAAGTTTCCAACAATCTTAACCTGTAATTAAAAAAACTTACAATTAGGGCCCCTGACATGTAACTATAGCACTGCCACATTTTGTGCTTAAAAACCATGTCAAACTCATTTATTTCTTTCTAAAATTTACTTCTTATTTTCCCTGATTTGTGGACATTATTTACACTATCTCATTCCAATAAGCAGAATACATTGAATTACCTCCCTTTTATAGAATGAATTTACCTTCATTAAATAGATTTAAATGCTATATGTGTACTCCTTCATTATTTGTATCTTAAGAAAAGCATAATTCATATAAATAAAGTCTTGCAGTTTACATCAGGTTATTAAGGTTACACCGTAGTTTTAATAGTCCAAAAACAGAAACAAAAGAAGAAGCCATTCATGACAGGTTTTATGGTACTTGACATTTATACAAAGGTGGTCATTAATACGATGTCTGACTGTAGCTGATATAAAATTTTAATAGTCCAAAACAGAAACAAAAGAAGCCATTCATGACAGGTTTTATGACATTTATACAAAGGTGGTCATTAATACGAGATTTGACTGTAGTTGATAAAACATATTAATCTTCATAATAAATTATACAATTTTAATCAGGCTTTAATATGGTCAAGTTTAATCTATTGTTATTTTAGCTTAGTAATATTATAACAGCTTAATTGAATTCCTATTCTTAGACTACAACTTACTGCACTTACCCTTAAACCTACAGAATGTTGTAATGGATTTGGCCAGTGCTTTGAATTTGGAAAAGTCCATTTAAAGCTGCTGGAACATTTGTCAGACGAGAATCTGTTATATTGAAAGCTCAGTTTTAGTATTTTGATAATGAAATCCCTCAAACTTTTAATGGACTGTCCTAAAGTTCAAAGCAGAGCAAATCCATAGAACAGATTCAGCAGGTTGTTTTTCAAATTTCAAGCAATTTAATATCAAAATTCAAACACAATGAGATACCAACAAACTTCATGGATGAACAGACAGCCTTGGCTGTTGACTCTATACTAGTGACAAAGAATAACCACCATTACATCAGGTTAAAGGTTTAAACTAGTCTTTGTTATTATGCCAGGAAGTTTTCTATTTAGTGACAGTTGTAGTCAAAGAATGATTGATGAGGCTATATTCACATAGATGTAGAATATCTGAGACCTAACCTACAGTAATGTAAAATTCCTAAATTGATAAAAAGTCATAAATGTAAAGGATCTTAATAAGTTCATGAACATCTATTAAAATTTATCAGTTGTCTGTCTGACAGAGAGATCAAGAAAGTTTTTAAAGAAATAGACAAAATTGGCTGAATACATACAAGCTTTTTGATAACTGGAATATATTTTCATTGAATATGCCATTTTTAATTAATCATTTTTTTTGCTTCAAACAAATTTAGGCATATAAAGCACAGTTATTTTTGGAGAAAAACAAGAAGAATATCATTCAGTGGGTTTGAGAGCTTATGGTTAGTAAAAAAAAAGCAACAATCTAAGTTACAGTTTCATAATATGATGATAGTCTAAGTATACAACATAAACATATACATTATATAAATGTGAAGATTTTTGTGGGAAAAAACCTCTTAAACCAAAAATAGTGTAAATCATTATGTCTATGATCACAAAAAAATTTGGATCAGACTTTTTATCTATAAAATTTTATACCATCTCTCACATTTTAATATAAAATATTGTAAATAATTTCCAGACTACAATAAGAATCAGTGAAATATGATATAAAAACTTCACATCTATACATTATGTGTTAAATAACAGAGGGTTAAACTGCTGAAAAAAGAATAAAAAACAAAGCTAAGGTTAATATTCGCCTTCATATTATGTTGGTAACATAAAAAAGCATTGTATTATTTCATCAGCTATTAGGAAAGCTGTTAACAAAGCTAAGGTTACAAGGGGTTATCCTTGCACATATATCACAATAACATTACGTGAAGACTTGGCGCTGGAAATACTCTCTCTGTCAGCCCCTGCCTGTGGGATATACACGTTCAATTTGGACCGACGAACCAATACTTTCGGTACAGCACCAGATTTATCTCCTTTATCATTCTCAAACACTTTGTCCGCGTCGAGTTTGAGACCGAGACGTTTTGTCCTCTGCATCTGGGTCTCAGGAGTGTTTGTATCGAGATTTATTATTTCCATTTCATCTTCGTCTTTTTTTTCTATGTTACCATGGAAATCAACATTTCACTTTTTTTCACATTATCACAAAATGTGTATGTATCAAAGATTTCATTAAATTCTCCAATAGATATAAGCCTTGTCACTCTTATTCATAAAATATTTTTTGAATTGAATAACATTAATCCTTTAAATATCAATATCCATAATAATAATTTTATTAATATTTTTTTTCTTTCAAAATATAAAAAATCAAAATAAATATAAGACTCTTTTGATCATTAATATCCAGTTCATAAAAGGATCACTATCTGATCTTTTCACTTTCTAACATAGTATCACTTTTGTGTAATCTCTTGTGAATTATTATAGAAATATATTGAATAGCATTACATGATTAATGTCACTTCTTATTACAACAGCTCTTAGGTTTTAACTTTCAAATCTTTCAATATATTCCATATAGTACACTATTATAGATCCCCTTTCTTTTGTGTAAAATAATCCCAAAGTTGAACACTCAATACAACCAGATGCTTCTTTTATTATGAACGTGTTTTTATTAGAGCAATGTCAATATTTTAAGAAACTGGTTCTAATCAAATGTTCACGATATGAAAAAATATTGAAAAATTTCCTTAATTATTTAGCAGCTGATCGGAAAATTGAAATTTCTATAGATTTTATTGAAAACCGCTTAAGTGGTTCAAAACTTAAGTAAATAAACTATTATTGAACTCTGGTGTAGATATCTATTAAATATTGTAACTATGTAATTATCTCAAAATGTTCAGTTAATATTTCAAAGTTTGCTTGTAAGCATTCAAATTTTGTTATATTAGTTTACAATTCTTATTCTAGAGTTTATAAAATATTGCCAACTACTTAAAAAGTTCTGTTTACATAAACTTTGGCAAATATTTGTGAAAATAAAATTTTCATTCCTTATAAGTAAAGAAACTACAGAGTAAATCAAATTATAAGTCAAGTGTATAATCAACAAATTAAGAAATTCTTAACTAGTATTACATAGAATAAATAACATCATAGAGCTTATAAAACTACATATTAATCTTAATATATTAACTTAACATCTCTCAGAAAAGTAAAGAATGCTTAAATAAAGCAAAAGAGACCAAAATTAATGCAAAAAAAATAATGAAACTAGCCAATGAAAAGTTAAAGAAATAGAATATGTAAAAATATTTGTTCATGAAGTAAATCTTTGCATAGAAAGCACTTTTTATTTGTAAACTTTTTATTCTGAATAAAAATACCATTAAAAAACCAAAAAAACAAAAAAAAACAGGGAAATGCATACAAAAAAAAAAGAAATGTAAAAATACCAGATAGGAAACTTACCAGATTTATGCTGTTCACCATCAGAAGCAGTCTGTATGAAAAAATAAAAATTCTGTTTAAATTTGTAGCTTTCTTAAAGTTCTATTAAAGTTCCATATTTATATGTCATTTGTCATCTATATATACTGTATACAATGATAGACAATATATTATTTTTTACGTAATTGTGGTCCACTATGCTTGCTTTTTTTTAAAATACTTTATATTGCTTTGAAAAAAAATCATAGGTGCCTAAAATTAATGGACCTTATTTAAAGCACTTTATTTCACTTTTAGATCATTTTTTCCCCTTTCTTTCCCCTGTTATCACATTATTTTAACATTTTAATGTATTCTACCATTTTATATTTCTTTCATCAACACAATGTAAATTCCACAGATAATGCAAATTAATAAAAAAAATATTGCATTAGATATAGATTTTTAATGTTGTTGTTTTTTGTAACATATTGTTTGCACAGCATGTGATATATAGAAATTAATATGTTTTTGTCATTTCACAAAGAGTTTCATTAAACAAGTCTCAAAAATGTTACAATTCTTGCCTGAACAATGTCCTTAAATTGTTTGATATAAGTTAATCTAAAAATATTGCCCCTTATATTATAAGATACTACTTCACTACTTTTTCCAATCTCAAAACATATCTCTTTATTCAGATAATTTTGTTGAACAAAAAAGTTGCAATTGTCAGAATGCATGGATGTTGTTGCTTTTCTTTGCAAAAGTATTTGCATTCAAAACAGGATCCCTTGAATTTACTTATAAAAGCAAATATGATTACACTTATATACAAATGACAACAATAGAAGCTTTCTTTTATCCATTTTGTGTTCAGTAGTTTCTATAAATTACTTTAAAATTCTCCAATTCCAATGGTGTTGGTGACACTTGTATGTTCTGGAAAAGGTCTGAATAACGTGATGCATGAAAGATCCTATCTCCATTAAATTGCTATTCAAATTATGATGTGTTAAACTAAGGTGCATCAAGGCAAAAATGGTTAATTCTAATACATACATAGATTATATATTAAATGTAACTATATTTCATAATTATCCTATCATAGCCAATCTTTGCCAACTAAAGCAATCTATGCTAGCTACTCAAAATATATTTCATACATGTATGTCTGTATACATTCCTGTCTTGTTCAGCCAGACCAAACTTTGAAATCATAAGTAATTAATGAGAGAAAACCATTTAAATGACAAGTCCCTCTTACAATATTACATTGTAAATGTAAAAATTAGTTTTTAACTTAAACTATATAGTTTGAAATGAAAATAAGCATACGACTTTAAAAAATTGGGGGACAACTTAAACAGAGCTGACCACTGTCATGACTGTTAATACTGTCAATGTAATAAAAGAAATATTTTATTTTCAGAAATAATACAATATGTAACAATAAAGTTTGGGTTACTTTATTGTCTAGTCTAAAGTAACACAGCAATAAGATTTTTTTGTGGAACATTAACAACTAAAAAAAACCCCAACCCTTTTCACAATCAAATTACATTTTACAACATTGAACAAAGGAATTAAGGATCAAGGGTTAAAATGAAATTACTAAAGGGAACGGTATAATATAGGATTTCAAAATGATAAATAGGGTTATTTCTCACAAAAAATGAGGGAAAAATAGTCATGCATTATGTATTTCAATAACATATTTCAATTCCATATTACTTTAACCCGAAATGATTGTAGAAAATTCTAATTTCCAATGAGAACAAATTGAAACAAAATTATTTAATTGACTCCTTTACAAGCATTTAATGTCCCTATCAGAAAAACAAAGAATTAATATAACCATTGAAATGACCTTATTAGAATATACCTCTACTACTATGCTTGTAGCCTTGTCATGCATCTTGGGTGAACTTTTATCATCTTTATCTTTTGAGCTTTCTTTCTCCAACTCGGCTGTTGGGCTCGAACCCACACCTGGTGTATGACCCTCTAGCGAGTTCTTCCGGTCCTCCCCAAACATTTTTCTGTCTCTATTCCTATATGACCTCGGATCATTTTTGTCAATAACTCTAGCCTTATGTTTATCTTTTTGAGGAGGTAAAGTAAGAGGCTGTCCATGGACGGTTGCCTCTGACGCCCATTGCTCCTCTTGTAACTGGTCAGCGTCAGGTTGGTTATCATCATAGCGAACTTGTGTAAGACTTGGATCACTGTAATCCATGCCTTTATGCTACAGAAGTGGGTGGGGGTTTTAATATTGCAGATTAAATGATAAAATCACCAATAAATATCAACTTTACAATATCACATCATCAGTTTCAATCCATTCTAAATGAAGCAATTGATTTCAAATTTTTCAATTTATTATAAATAATATCTATCTTTCTACCTTTATTGCAATTTTAATTAGCAATTCTCATGGCCAATGTAAATGAACATAAATCCTGTCATACCATTTAACATGTGATTCAATTTTCACAGCTTTTGCTGCAGTTCTATCAAACTTTTGTTCCAAGTAAATTGTACCAGTATCGGTGACAAATCTATAAGCATGCCTTTTGTAATTTTACAGCAGATAAATCAATAATTCAATTTTAAACTAGCATAAAACAAACATTGCACATGCTCAAATTAGACTTAGGGGACGTGTTATTGATGGCAACAATAAACTGGCAACAAAAACCAACTGCAAACCAATTCTTGAATGAGGTACTTTAAGGTGGTAAAGGGAATGTTAAAATTGGTGTGTTAGATAATGTTGAAAAATTAGTTGTGCAGGTAAATAAATAAAATAATCTACCATTTATATCATTTGGAATGTTAAATTCTAAAATACTAAATGTTTATATAGACATTATAATACATTTACTAAATAAACATAGCAAGATACTATGATGATAACTATTTAATCATAAAATGTTCAATTTAAGTACATTTTGAAATGTATTTATTGGCACAATTTTGAATTATTGTCCTGTAGACAAGGTCAAAATTCAGTAATTTGAGACCAGTTTCAAATATAAACATCTGATTGTTTAACTTTAAATTGACTAAAGAAAATGTGTGATTTGTTACTAATTTTCCAGTTTGGTCCAACACCTTTGGTCAAACATAAAAACAATGGTGCTTAAAGCTATAAAATTATTTTCATAATTATAATATATTATCATTATTATTTCTTCATAATGTAAGAGAATCAAACTATTTGATATTTAATAAAAATTTTGTGTCTGAAAGTTTATCTGGCTTACAAAATAGTTTTCACAATACTAGCAATTTATGGCCACATCAACTATTAACAACAAACTTACGATTTCTGGTCGATGTAGAAGATTCAACTCAAATTTTCCTTGCCCTGTTAAACTGTGTTTTCGTGTCAACATACTAGGTGGATTTGGGGGAAGGTTCATTAATTTTTCTCTGTCTATTGTTCGCTGGGGTGGTATTTTCCTATCATCCTTCATCTGTTTCTTTTTGATATCTTTCTTCCTTTTGTCATCCTATAAACAAGAATACACAAGAATACAAAATATATATGACAGGTATCACTGAACATTGGTTTCATTCAGTAAGGGCAGACCTTGGACACAAGTATTTGTTATTTGTCAAGCTAGCACTTCACAGCATCAGTCTTCTGAGT